TCTTTTTTTGTGCTGAGGATTCCTTTAGCAGTCTGTTGAATTCTATGGGTTGCTTCTCAGAACAGTGTTTTAAAGGTATAATTATAAAGTACACAGGCCTACAAAGGAAGCCAATGACAAACAACATTCTCAAAATATTAAAGAATTTGAGATAAAGTAGTCATCAGTATCTAATCTACCATATTTTGCTGTGTATAATGTGCTCCCATGTATAATGCATACCCATGTATTTTGCCCCAACTTTCAGGAAAAAAAAATCTTTTAATTTTAAATTTTAATCCAGTTATTTATTTATTTATATTTAGGTACTTCTTTTTGTATTATAAAGGAATTTCAGCATTTATTTTTGAACATATGGTACAAGAAATTTTATGTAACAAATAATTAAAAACCCAAGAACAGATACAATGTATAATGTGAATTCTTATTTTTCCCTCAAATATTTGGGCAAAAAATGCATATTATGCATGACAAAATATGGTAATTCCTACTGTGATTTTAAAATATTGATTAGCATAAATGCTATTTCAATATCTGCAAGTACTCTAATATGATAACGGAAATATTTTTGATTTCAATGAGTGACAAAGCTAAAGGTACTGCTGATATTAACCAGGCTTTCTTTTCCTCCATTCATAATTGACGGTAATGCTATATTTCAGTTAGTGAAAGCAACGATGTAAGATTTTTTACCCTCACCTGATTGATAAACTCGTGATTTTATGTTCTAATGTGATTTAATAACACTGAACAGTCTAGGACCACATTTCAATTTTCATCTGCTTCTGTTGGAAGGCTATGATACAGGATTCCTGGTAACCTTTATTAATTTCTTACTTTACCTGATAATCATTCAGAAGATAAATATTTACTGAGTTCATACTTTGGGAATGGAGTGGGGATGAAGAGGGGAAAGTGAGGAGAAGGGTACCAAATTGAGTGAATGGATGTCTCTGCTCTCAAGTAGCAGGCAAAATACTTGACTTTCACTTCCGGTAAACCAAAAGAAACTTCATTGACATCTAGCAAGGATTTTAGCTCTTGTTAGTTTTGTATTGCTGATTATATCTTAAAGTTTGGATATAATTCCCATCTTGCCTGATCATGAATTTGCGTGGGGCTGTCACATTACATAGAGATTCTCAGGCCCCTCTACTGGAGAACATTTCAGTATGTTTCAGGTGGGTGATGGGTAAATCTGTCTTTTTAACAAATTTGCCAGATGGATCCTCATCATCATGCAGTATTTAGAAAAGCTTACCTAGATAATAATTGAACATTATATAAAAACACTTGGACTTATCACATTGGTAATTATTTTCATGAGGAGGGATTATGTTGTTTTTGTCCTGTCCTCATTTTCTGGAGGAATCTTCACTACAATAGGGCAGCTTTGTAGAAAGGGCTGATATTATCAGATAGTTTTCTCTAAGGAAAAGGTGTCTTACTTTTATTTTACCTGGCTCATGAATATAGTGATTGTATTTTGTGAACTCAGAGTCTGTTCATTAACTTTTTAAGGGTAGAAATATTTACATAAATATTCACTTCTTTAATATATGTAACGTCACCTTTAGAAATATAAAATTATGTGAGAAAGGGATGGAGATATATATATATATATATAGATGATAAGCCAAAAAGCCATCTATTAAAGACATTGGGTAAAGTACTACTCTTCAGGAAGCACTGAATGAATGATTGATTGAAAAGAACTACCCTATGACTTAGATGTTATCATCGTCATCTTACACTTGAAGAAGCTGAAGCTTAAAGAAGCCAAGGACTAAGCCCAAGTTCACACAAGAGTTGGTGGAAAGCTAGAATTTGACTCCATGTATTTCTGATTCCAAAGTCTGTAAATGTGGCAGCCAAATCTTTAAAAATTGGTAATGACGTACCGTAATCTATCATAATGTGTGTGTACATTTACATCATTCACTTTTTTCATGCTTTTGTGTCTGCTTCTTGATCTACCCAGCACTCCTCCTTAAGTGTCAAAACTAAGAAGTTTATTTTTTAGTTATTAGGAGAGTTTTATGTCTATTAGGAGAGCTTTATGTCTATTAATTTACTTATAATTGTTAATGCAGATAATAGACTTGTATCTATTTTAAAAGTCATATTAAGTCATTTTTGTTTTTTACTCATGTGTTTTGTGCCTAGGCCATAAAATTAAATCTTACTCATGATCTAAGTACTCATTGGAGTTTATTATTTAAATAAAAACAGATGTAATATAATGATAGAATCTGTGGTCTTTTTAGATGACCACAGCATCGGCAGGTAGAAGGCAAGCAATAGGCAGGTATTAGTCAACAAGTGTTAATTTAGTACCTACTGTTGCCTAAAACTGCCAAGTACTGTGGAGGATATGTGTAGTATGGGCCATCCTTGCCCTTTCTAAGTTGTACAGAAGACCATCTCATGTGATGGTGGGAATGGAGTTCACAGGGTGGAAGTAAGTGTCCTTATTAGTAAAGGGAAGACTGTACAGGTGAATGGAAGGAGTCACTTCTGCTGCTGCTGTTTGATCACATCAGGCAAACTGCCTACTTAGGTCTTTGGATAGAGATCTGAAATGAAGAAATCTTTGGATAGGGATCTGAAATAAAGAAAAAAGCCACTTCAATCTTTTACCGCTGTGGCCGGCATTGTTGTGGAAAGTGGCCTGAAGATGACACCAGTTCTGAATTTGGCTGATGGGTGCATAGAAACTTGTCATTCATAGTCTTGAGTCTACAGAGCTCTCGGGACTCTCTCCATGCTGTGCAGAAACTGTCAGGTAACTCACACAAGGGGTTGGTGCTTCAGGTGAGAAGGGAAGGTGCTGAGTGGCGTGGGCACTGAGTTATTCCTGGGGGTTCACAGAAGATGCTGTTGCTTTTGTCATCTTCCTGCTCAAAAAGAGAGGGGTTTTTTTGTTTTTGTTTTTTTTGTTTGTGTTTTGTTTTTGCTAGGCCTTTAAGACCAAGTAGGTAGTTTCCCTTCCACTCTCTTTTTTTCTCTGTGTTAATGTTCGGAGGAACTTTTTTTTCCATTTTTTGTTTGGTACCAGGTGACTCTGATTCATTTTTTTCTTTCTGTGGTTGTTCCTTCCTTGGATGAAATGCCACAACACATTTGATCCTCCTTCGCCTCTCCCCCAGACTCTCCTTCGTCTGGCTAGAGACCGAAGGATGTGTTTTTCTCATTTGAGATCACTCATCGTAGTCGGCCATTTGTGAGCCAGCTGTTGTGTGGGACAACAGCTGCAAGGCCAGGAAGCCGAATGCCAGGCTCTTTCCTAGGGGGAGAACTAGAGCTGTTCCTTACTGGTGCACTGGAGGTACCATTAGGAGGTTCCACCGGCCCTGCACGTCACTGGGCCATGTAGCTGGGGCACCAGTAACATAAAACTGGGCCAAGCTCTGGTAGTCTTTTATTGAGGGGTTTGCATTTGACTGCTGTTAGAACAGAGCCATGCACACCTTGGATCCTTGCTGGCCTGAGTGCAAGCTGTGGCAGGTGTATTAAACCCACAGGGCTCTGTGCAGCTTTGCTTTCAAAACATCGTGTTTTAACAAAACTTAGGAGTGGAAGTTAATGTTCTGTTGTGCTAATTCAATTTCTCATTGAAACAGTAAGCTATATCTTCTACATAATGAACATTTTGTTTGCTTTATGTATCAAAATAAAATTCTGTTTAAATACAGATGTCATAATACATTATTTGGGATACTTATAGAATGAATGAAACTTATTTATTACAAAGCCAGTTATTTGAGTCAATTTATTGTATCTCAAAAAAAATACTTGTTCTCCTGTATTAATGAAGAAAAATTAAAGTGAACTTCAATAATGACTTGTGCATAAGGTGGGAGAAGTGTAAAACAATAAACAAAATATGTATAAAAAATTTTTAGATGGGTCTTTTGCCTATAGCTTTGAAAGGCAAATATTTAATACCCTTTGGTAACTTCAATTTAGTAGTTAAAATTTGGTCTTTTTGCTTTAGGATATTATAATGGTTTCCTAGGATTATTATTTTTTTAATGTTAAGTTTCTCAAAGGGGAGACCTAAGGGGATAGTGAAGCAGAGTTCTTTATGATTGTGATTTCCAAGTTGAGATGAAGTTTAAACAGGATGTTATATGAAGACCAGGAAGGAAACTTTCTGCTCCAATCTGATAACAACTTCTCCACAACCTTGCAGAGTTGCAAGGGAAAAGAAAATTTAAGAAAGGGAAAGAGTTGGCTTTAGGAGTTGAGATGATTGTGTTTGATTGGGGTATACATACTTTTAACTGATAGTCTCCAGTTCACATTTTATTCTTCATGAGTTGAGCCTGTTATTGATCTCTCATTTCAGTGTCCGCAGGGGCTGTTTCCTGGCAGTTCTATAGAATAAGGACATATGTCTGTCTAACTACTATGTTATACCTCTGAAATTAATACAAAATAATATTGAATGTAAACTACAGTTGAAAGGTAAAATAAAAAGACTGAGTGTAGATACACTATGTCTCATCATATGGATAGATGTTTGATTTCATATCCCATAAAATGAGGCCCAAGAGATTCACCTTAAAAGTGTTGTCACATTTTATTTATGACACATTAAAAAACAAATCAGTGCTGAGTCCAGTGGAATGCTAAGAGGTGGAAGCTATTTCTTTTTCTTTTCTTTTTTTTTTTAAGATTTTATTTATTTATTTTTAGAGAGAGGGGAAGGGAGGAAGAAAGAGAGGGAGAGAAACATCATCAATGTGTGGTTGCCTCTCGCGCATCTAGGCATGTGCCCTGACTGGGAATCAAACCCATGACCCTTTTGTTTGCAGGCTGGTGCCCAATTCACTGAGCCACACCATCAAGGGCTGAAGCTACTTCTAAAGGACTTTATATTAAAATATGTTTACATTTAAATAAGTAACTATAAACTGTGAACTATAAACTGTTCCATTTTGGACTCTGAGATATTTCTTATGGGTTAATTAACCTCTTTTTTTCCTCCTCTGCAGAACTGGCTAGATCCTGCAAAACAAATAAAGAGACAGCTTCGAAGTGAGTATTTAAATAATCATACTTTGAAGTTATTAAGCTAATCTTTACATCTATAATATTCATAGAAATGTAACCTAGAATAATAATATAGTGATAGAATAATCAGCTCTATTTTGCATTTGTATCTTATAGGTAGTGAAGTGTAATAATGATGTTTTTCTGGAATCATGATGTTATTTTGTACATGAGGTCCAGAGGTTCTAGACTCAATCATATTGTTTTCTCACAGGGTCTACCACTTAAAGGTATATCTGACTTTTTTCTCTGGAGAAAAGAATGGAAAGGTGCTTTCTCTAACTATGTAATTTTACTGTATTAATAAGTACTTTGCTTCATCTTGGAAGCATGTAATTAATTTAACTAATAAGCTTATCTCTGGCCCCAGAGACCTATAGATGCACTGTTTCTAGACGCACTGGAGTGAGGACCGTAGGGAGAAAACATGCAAAACGGTCTTTTTGGTCCTCTGAGGTCATTCCCTTCTCTTTTTTTTTTTCCCCTACTCTAGACGTTATTTACAAATAATATTTCCCCTCCATTGTTACGGTTTTCTTTCTCAAATTTAAATTATAATCTACTTCAAAGTTATTTTGGTATGAGATCAGTACGTTCTCTACTCCTTTGTCTCACATTCCAAGGCTGCCTATCGTGCTCTTTAGGCTGGATTTCTCATTAGTCCTGCGTGGCCCTTCCATTTAGCCATTTGTTCTTATTGTAGACTCCTACAGTGACGTTGTGTCCTGTCCCAGCTGGCTTTAGTTCCCTCTGTAGGCTCTGCCTCCGCATGTTGATTTGCCTTGTGGCTGACTTAGTGATATCTGTGCTGAGAAACATTATCACCATGGAAAAATCTCTCATAGGGGATCTGGATACTTAATTTACTCAGGGTCTGCGAATGACTGAAGCAGAAAACTTAGGGAGCCGCTAACAGCTGGAATTTTCAGGACAACAAAATTCTTACCAGCCCTCCTGGACTGTGGGCCATGAGCTGTCCAGGGTGAAACCATGTCCCTGAGTGCCAGCACAGAGTGCCCCTTGTGCCGTTGGTTTCATTCCTTCCTTACTACTGCTAACGTCAGAACACTGGAGCAGACCTGTACTTTCCCTTCCATTCTTTTCTGTCTACCTTCTGTCTCACTTCACATTCTCACATTTGTTTTCTTCATTTTTTTTCCTTTCTCAAATTATTAATCTTTTTTATAGTTTTTTCTGTCATTTTTTCTTTTTCTACTCTTATTCTCAGCATATATATAGGCACATTTATCTATATCTTATTTTTTCTACTTCCTCTCCTTATAGACTCTCCTTTCTTTTATTTAAATCTTTGATTAGAGTAATCTTTCTGATTTGCCAAGGGCTGAAAACTGAGAGGTTCTCAGGATGTGGACCTTTCATTTCTGAAACCGCAGTAGTCCCAGGCAAACCGGGATGGTCTGTTGTCCTATCTTTTGACTATTATCCCTGGCTTTCCAGCATGTCCCTGCTCCATTCCTCACACCCTCCCAGTCTCCCTGCATTTATTATCTTGGTGTTTCATCTGTGTGTTTGTTTCATGATGGAAAAAGGGGGAATAAAGAAAAGGAGTAAAATTAGACACAGATAAATTATGCTGGCATTATGGCAGAAATTGTACTTGAATGCTTTGGAGCTTTTTCCTCTGTCCCTTCTACAGTTATTACATGCTAACAAAGTGCATGGATTCAGAAAGGCACAGATGTGTGTTTCTTTCACTTTCTCTGAAACCAGATCTGCCACGTGACTTCAACAGGAGAGAACAGGATAACCTCTGAAACATGATTGATGTTCCATTGAGTTGTTTCCTATGGTTTTGTTTTGGCTTTTGTTTGATTATTTTTGAGAGCTGCTCATGTCAGAGTCATGGAGATTTTCTGACTTTTGGAAGGAGAGACTCTTGCTGATTATGAGTCACGGTCTTATGTTTTGATTATTTGTGAAGTTTTTTAGAGTTATTTCAGGACTTTTGCCCTTGTGGTTTGGCAAGAAGAATAATAGTAACAAATAGGATTTGATTTTTTCAGACTATTGGAGTGAGTTCTCTAAATGGAATCCTGTACTGTCCCCATTATGAGAGTAGGCCGAGGAAATAAAATTTTGATGGTGTATTTTACCTTTCTTTCTGCTGGTGTTAGAATGGGCAGAAGAACTGCTTCTTCTGTCTTAGCATCTGCAGTGGTTTATTGTTACTCAATTAATTGGCAACTGGCAAAGGTAAAAGTTAATCTTTTTTTGAGTTACTTTTGATGAGCAACAACCTAGCTCCTGTGTAAAATGTGCCTTAAAATCTATGTATTTCAAATGTATAAAAATAAGACTATCCATCTAAGGTTTGCCTATGATTAATAGATACATAATTCATAGCTAGATGGACTTTATATATAGCTAGGTAAAAATTATCATAACAATAATGTATAATTAAATTAAAAGTTTAGCATTATTGGTGCACTTTATCAATGTTAGAATTGGAAGTATACCCTCAAGTATGTGTTCCACTAGAAGTTTAACCCTGTAGTCATGTTCAGGCAAGCATGTGCTAGAAAGCAAATAAATAATGATCCATTAAAAACTGACCTTCCTGAATATGGGTTAGCAGTCAAAGAAGCGCAAATGCATCTCAGCCAGCATGGAGATACCGGCCAAGAAGCAGCGTGTCTCTCCAAATTTAGGAAAATCCTGTATCCCTTTATGAAGTTTTAAATGCGTAAGGCAAAATGTTTTTTAGCTGAAAAAGAATTGACTTTATTAGTAGAATAATGATGTTTTGAACCAAAATTCAGCAAAAGTGCATGTGTGTTCATAGTAGCCGTTCATCAACTCTTTGTTAACTTTGGAGTAGAAGTTAATATGCTTATGGTGAGAGAAGGACAAGATGACACATTGAACAAGGGAATGGGACTCAAGAAATTTTTCTTCAAGTTTATAAATTAGAGCAATAGTGAGGCCTTCAAATGGGTATGAAATGAAGTAACAGACATTCTTTTTTGTTTTAATTTGGAAATACTATAGACTTTGAGCACAGCTCTGAATTCCAGGCATTGGAATTAGTTGGATCCCTTTAGGACAATAACACTTTCCCTTTCCCCAGAGCTGTGTGTTTTTGTTTGTTTTTAAAGACATCCAAAGCATGTTATATAGAATGTTAAATGTTAATGTATATAGATGTTTAACTTTTAAAGACATGACATAGTTGTTTGATATATTTATTCTTTTTGACATAGTACAGGCAAGTGTATATGCCATATGAGTGTACTTCAGGAAACCTGGGAAATAATTTTATTGTCTTAAAAGTATTGTGGCATTTTACCTCTCTCTCCTTTCTTTAGGATTTCTCTTAACACTTCCTTCAAATAATCCATTAATAATTTCCTGAATAGCTGTAGTGATCACTCAGTCATTACCCTTCTTCTTCCAACAAAGTAGGAATTCTAAAATGCTTTTTTTTAAAGAGTGGAGAATGCTTGCCATCTAGGGATTCTGTGGTTAAAACAAATCTTATCTCAGAACTGTTCCATGAGGTTAGATTAAAATTTTTACATAATAGATCACCATATAAAACATTTGCTGAAGTACCAGTAAACATTTATAAAAAATGTGATCCTATTTTTGTTTTATAAATGGTATTCTCTTTAAATTAAAACATAAAATTCTCTCAACTGATTTATACAGGGATTAGTCTATAGTGTTTGAAAGTGTACCTCTAAGTATTATCAAAATAAATGGTCATTCTGTTGGTTGGGTAAATAACCATGATATTTAAAAATTACAGATCTTCCCTGGCTGTTTGCTTTTAATGTGAAGTTTTATCCTCCTGATCCTTCTCAATTGACTGAAGATATCACCAGGTACTTTATATTTACATCAAAAATAAACCTTTACTTACAGCTCTCATTTATTTCTGTGCCCTGGGATAATAGTGGTAGTTTCATTATTCAAATGAAAGCATTTTTTTTTAACTTGAGTTTTAGAAGTGTCTTTGGAAGTTCCAAAATAGTTTGAAATGTTGCTGGTTTCAAAATTTTTCTTTTCGTTGAATTACCCATTTATATTTGAATAATGGAATATTTTTAAAAATTTGCTGGCAACTTTATTTCCTATGTTATTCTTTCAAAAATCATTGATATTTAATATTTTAGTTTTTATTGCTCAGGTGGTTTTTATTATACAACCCATGTGTGCCTGTGTACTAGTCTCATATTACAAGGTGATAGAAGGGTGGAAGAACAAAATTATTTTTAAAAGTCAATTGAACTGTTATTTTTTTTGTTGTGTTCCCCCCGCCTTTCCAAACAAACAATAAGGTAGGCTTTCTTATTTCACTTCATTTCATTTCATTTCATCTCCTCTGAGATTGTCTGGGATATACAAACCATATGCTTAAATTGCAAATTAAAGATTCAGTTTAGGAGCAAGAGAGGATTTTCTGATTCTGAGAACAAGGAATATTTGAATGGTAACCAAAGAACATTCTGTATGTACTAGTGCCTTCATAGCTTAGCCCTATTAAACTGGCTTCCAGTGGTAGGATTTCTTAGCTTTGGTAAGAATAAGCCAGTAGGGTGATTTGCATGTATTTTTAAGGGGTTATTTACATGGCCAAAGAAAACTACACACACACAGACTCTCTCTCTCTCTCTCCCTCTCTCTCTTTATTTTAGAAAACTAGGGGGCCTTATTAGAAGCCTCTGCTTTTGATTCCTGTGGTTACTGTGCCTTGATGCTTTCTGCTAGGCCAGTATTGTTGTCAGATATCAAGTTCCATGGGTGCTTGAGAGAATGATATCCATGTGAAATAGGAATGATGGAGATTTCTTTCCAGGGCAGGTTTTTTCTTTTTTTTTCCCCTGAATAGGGATGTGTACTGGTACTAATTAAGTTGTGATCAAATTAGCTTCAGCTAGTAAATAAATAGTAGCTTTTGTAACTGCACATTGAGCTGCTTGGAGCTGAAAACTTGACAGTTTTGCAGGCGTAAGCTACAGAGCCTCACTGCAGGGTGCCATTAAACCGTGCGGGTAACCGGGGCTTTGCGACTCAACATCTCTGTACATATACTACTCTCTGCAGTATCTTGTTTGGGGGATGACAAGCCTTTGGTGAATGCAACTTACAGCATCAGTAAGTGCTTTGCCTTTCCTTTGAAATGGGGCTTTAACAGTCTCCCTATGTACAGTGGGTGGAATGATAGAGCCTAGTGAGGTAACTAATAGCCTTAGCAGAGTGCAGCCTGAGACTGGCCACTTGCCTGTACGTGTAACCTAGTAGCCTGCTTGTCATGATTGAAATCCTCACCATGACTTGAGTGAACATTGAGAAGGTGAGTTAGACTTTTGAGGAGAGCATGAGCTCTGTTCAGAATAATGTTTAAAGAATGTTGTTTCCTACAGTATAAATTTCCTGAGTTAGGGAAATCAGGGAACTATTGCAGTTCCTATTGGAGCTTTTTGGACCTTAGACTTAAACTTTGAAAACAGAGGAAAGGACCAATGTGAAAAGTAGAGACAATAATATAAAAGGGAGCAACTAGATTTTAGTAATAGATGGAATCTTTGTGGTTAGGTCTTAAAAAGTGTCATAAAATGTGGAGAACTAGCACTATTCTTGATTAGTCTTAGAGAATTTGAGGATAACCTGAATCATTGTTTAAAATTTAGTTTTCTAAAATGACTGCAGTGATATTCATGCTGTTCATGCTGTTCTAGAAGTCAAGGAAATGTATAATCTTCCTTAGAAGTCGATCTCCTGCAATGCATAAAAACACTCAGACTGTAGCGATAGACAAGTTTCAGTCTCAGAACATTATCACACATTCTACATGTGGAAGTACTTTGCTAACTGTGGGACTGTGATGGTGATACACTGAGGCCCTGCCCTGCCCGACAGATTTGCATGGTGATCCAGGTCCGGGGGTAACTGAACTATGTGATGGCTGCTGGCAGGCGCTGGGTCGTGCTCTCTGGCTCCACAGCAGCGAGGCCTGGCTGGGAGGCAGCACGCCCGCCTGAGTGTGTTGGCTGGAGGGCAAGAGGAGTACGGGGCCCTGAAACCCATGCTGGGCAGAAGCGTGCACGGGAAGATGGTGGCTAGCTTCTAGTGGGAGTGGCAGTCACTAACAAATCTTTAAAAATGAGGGCACTGACATTTAGTTTGGAGTGGTCGTTGGTAGCCTAAGCAATTGGTTTTAAATTTGAGAGTAAGGATCAGGTTTTAAAATGTCACCAAAAGGAGTTAGGGGGGAAAACAATCATTGTGGGATATAAATAACATGCTTCTTCATGTTATTTAGTAAAAAGTAGAATCTTTTATAACTGTAGTAAGCTACCTGGGGCATTGAATAATAATTATTGTAACTAATAATAATAACAACATTATTATGATCATGGCTACCAAATACCAAATATCAATTCCCAAGTACCAGGCCATGGGTTTTATCTGTATTATCTAATTGTTTTACCCTCCACTTCAAAGGGAGGTAGAGTTTTCCCCCCTTTTTACAGGTGACGAATTAGCCCAAGGCAAGTAAATTAATTTATTCAAAATTACATAGTGTCAGCCTTGCTTGGCCCTGAAGCCCAGGATTTCTCTGCTCAGACTGAACTAGCTGGCTGTTAAGATGAGGTAAACGGGCAAGTAAGGGCTTCAGAGTAGAGACTAATAACTGTTGTTAAAAGCATCTCAGGAAAATGAAAAATTAGTATGAAAAGGATAGAGTGGATTAAGGGTAAGGTGACTTTAGCCTTTCTTGCTAGTGCTTAAGAAGCTGCAGCTATTTTTAAAATTTTAATACTCTTTACAACTTTGAAGGTCATACTAATTTTAATTAGTTTTAAATCCAAGGGGACAGTCTAGTTGGAATTTTTACCTTCAATCACAAAACTCTTTGTTGTAATAGTCATAGTCATAATATGCTATTATTGGAATAGAAGTTCAGAGATTCCATTCTATTTCTTTGCTCACTAGAATCAGTTTCTGTATATAAGCCACAAGGTGGGAATCCAAGGGGAAAGGTGGACTTCTTATTAGAGGAAACTTTTTTTGCTAGAGATATGAAGATTGCCTATATTGCATGTTTGTTTTCAAAATGAATATTAGAACTCAGGGATTATGAGTGCTGTGGTCTTAACTAATTGTTCTTCCCTACCCTTTTCTCCCCTGCTTCTCAGATACTTCCTGTGCCTTCAGCTCCGGCAGGACATTGCCTCTGGCCGCCTGCCCTGCTCATTTGTGACTCATGCCCTCCTGGGATCTTACACACTACAGGCTGAACTTGGAGACTATGACCCAGAAGAGCATGCCAGTCATGACCTCAGTGACTTCCACTTTGCCCCCTCCCAGACTAAGGAGTTGGAAGAGAAGGTGGTAGAGCTGCATAAAACCCACAGGTCTGTTGACTTGTTTGCTGGAGAGGGAATGGCCATCATGGATTTAAATAGCTTTTCTTATAAAACTTGCTAGACATAGAGCCTAGTTGATGAGATTACCCAGTTTTTCCTTTTGGAGCTTCACGGAGTACTAATCAAGACACCCTGCTGCCCTTGAGATATGCTGTCTGGGTATTCATGGCTGTAATATGAGGAACTATGCTCATGAGGCTAAATGTTTTCATTTATTGGAAAAATTTACTTTTCTTATGGCATCTTTTGTCTAGTCCTATCCCTGATAAACATACACACATGAAACAAACTTGTTTTTATTACCATCTTTAAGAAGAAAACCAGGGAGATGATGAGGCATTAGGATCTGAATCAGAAATGTGGAAGGTGATGGATATAGGAGAGATAGTGAAATACACAGGGGGTTTCTCTCCACAAAAGATCACCTTTGGTGTAGCTAAGGATTACTTAGTTACTTACATTCCATGTTATACTTTGAGAACTTTTATATCTGTGAAAACAAAATGCTTTTTTCAGTATACTCTAGCTACAATAGTTTGTTGTTTTTCTTTTTTTTTTTTAGATTTTATTTATTTATTTTTAGAGAGAGGGGAAGGGAAAGAGAAAGAGAGGGAGAGAAGCAGCAATATGTATTTCCTTCTCATACCCCCCAATACTGGGGACCTCGCCCGCAATCTAGGCATGTGCTCTTACTGGGAATCAAACCAGTGACCCTTTGATTCACAGGCCAGCACTCAATCCATTGAGCCACACCAGCCAGGGCTATAGTTTGTTCCATAAGCAAAATTGAAGTTCTAACAACTTGTGATGAAATGATTTGAAAGGAACTTTTAGAGATTAAAAGTTTTTAGACAAACTACATTCATTGACTTTTCTTTAAAAAAAGAAAAATTAATAAACGCAGTCTCCACTGACTGCAGTGGTATGAAACACACAAAGACTTGGAAGATAAATAATATGTTACCAAACAAGAATGGGTTAACAATGAGATAAAGCAAGAAGTTAAAAGATACCTTGAAACAAACAAAAATAATACACAACACCCCAAAGTCTATGAGAGAGGGGGAAAGTAGTCCTGAGAGGGAAATTCATAGTATTACAGGCCTATCTCAAGAAACAAGAGAAAGCTCAAATAAACAATCTAACTTTACACTTAAAAGAACTTGAGCAAGAACAACAAATCAAGCCTGAAGTGATTTGAAGGAAGGAAGTAATAAAGATCAAAGAAGAAATAAATGAAATATGTCTTAAAAAATAATACAAAAGATTAATGAAATGAGGAGCTGGTTTTTTGAAAAGGTAAATAAGATTGACAGACTTTGAATCAGACTCATCAAGAAAAAAGAGAGAGGACCCAAGTAAATAAAATTAGGAATGAAAGAGGAGAAGTAACAACTGACACCAAAAAAATACAAAGGATTGTAATAAAATATTATGAACAACTATATACCAACAAATTGGACAGTTTGGACAAAATAGGTAAATTCCGAGAGACATACAATCTTCCAAAACTGAATCAGGAAGAATCAGAATTTGAATATACAGATTAAAACTAGTGAAATTGAAGCAGTAGTCAGAAAACTTCCAAAAACCAAAAAAGTCCTGGACCGGATTGCTTCTCAGGTAAATTTACCAAACATTCGAAGAGGACCTAACACCTTCCCTTTTCAAACTATCCATAAATGTCAAGGGGAGGGAAGACTCCCAAGCTCATTTTGCAAGGCCAGCATTATCCTAATTCCAAAACCAGTTAAAGAAACTACAAAGAAGAAAGTTATAGGCCAATATCCCTGATGAAAATAGATGCTAAAATCCTCAACAAAATAATAGCAAATTGGATTCAGCAGTACTTTTAAAAAGATCATACACCATGATCAAGTGGGACTTATTCTTGGGATGCAAGTTTGGTACGATATTTGCAAAGCAATAAATGTGATACATCATATAAACAAAATGATAAAAACCACATGATCATTTCCATAGATGCAGAAAAAGCACTTGATAAAATCCAGCACCCATTTATGAAAAAACTCCTTAGCAATATGGAAATAGAGGGTACATATCTCAACGTAATAAAGGCTTATATGACAAACCCACAGCCAACATCATACTCAATGGGCCATTTCCCTTAAGACTGGGAACAAGAGAGGGATGTCTGCTTTCACTACTCTTACTCAACGTAACACTGGAAGTCCTAGCCACAGCAGTCAGACAAGAAGAAATAAAAGGCATCCAAATTGGAAAGGAAGAATTAAAACTGTCATTATTTGCAGATGACATGATGCTACAGGTAGAGAACTTGATAGATTCCACCAAAAAACTAGTAGAGTTAATAACTGAATTCAGTAAAGTAACAGGATACAACATAAATATCCATATATCTTTTGCATTTGTATACATCACTAATAAACTGTCAGAAAAGGAAACTTAAGAAAAGTCTCATTCACCATTGCTTCAGAAAAAAAAAAACCAACCTAGGAATAAATTTTACCAAGGATGTAAAAGGCCCGTATTTGGAAAATTGTAATCTGTCCAATTTTCCCAACACCATTTGAGAATAAACTCAAAATGGATTAAAAACTTAAATATTAGGTTCAAATCCATAAAAATCCCATAAGAAGAAGTTGGCAGTTTAGAGATTAAATCTCAGACATTTTTTGTAAAAATATGTAAATCTCAGACATTTTTTGTAAAAAAATTCTTTCTGATATACCTCCTCTGGAATTGGGGAAAAAATAAATAGGTGGGACTACATCAAACTAAAAAGTTTTTGCACAGCAAAGAAGACCATCAACAAAAGGAAAAGACAACCCACTGAATGGGAGAACATATTCGTCAATGATAGATTCGGTAAAGAGTCAGTATCTAAAAATTGCAAAGAACTTACAAAACTCATCACCTAAAAAACTACCGAATTATAAAATGAGCAAAGGACCTTAATAGACACTAATCCAAAGAGGATATACAGGTGACCAATAGACATATGAAAAGATGCTCAAAGTCATTAATCATCAGAAATGCAAATTAAAACCAATGAGCTATCATCTCACACCGGAAAGAATGGCAATCATTAATAAACCCACAACCAGGTGTTGGTGAGGATGTGGAGAAAGGACAGTCCTCATGTACTATCTGTTGATAGGGATGTAGATTCATGCAGCAACTGTGGAAAACTGTGGAGTTACCTCAGAAAATTAAAAATGGAACTGCCTTATGACCTGGCATTTCTACTTCTAGGAATATATACGATGAAACCTGAAACAATAATTTGAAAGAATATATGCATCCCTATGTTCATTGCAGCATTATTTACAATAGCCAAGATAAGGAAGCAGTGCAGGTGTTCATCACTAGATGAGTGGATTAAAAACTGTGGTACATTTACACAATGGAATACTACTCAGCCATAAAAAAGAAGGAAATCTTTCCTTTTGCAACATCATGGATGGACCTGGAGAGTATTAAGCTAAGTGAAGTAAGCCAGTCATCAGAAGACAAATACCGTATGATTTCACTCATATGGAATTTAATGAACAAAATAAACTAAGTAGAATAAAAATAAGACAGAAGAGAAATGGACTCATAGATAGAGAATAGGCTGACAGCTGTTAGAAGGGAGGGGGATTGTGTAGCTGGGCGAAAAAAAAGTGAAGGCATTAAGCAAGAAATAAAATGAAACAAAACTCATAGACACAAACAACAGTATGATGATTAACAGAGGGAAAGGGGTGTGGGGAGGTAAAAGAGTGTCTGGGGCAGAAATGGTGATGGAAGGAAACTCGACTTGAAGGGGGCGAACACATAGTACCATATACAGGTGATGTGTTAATAGAATTGTACACCTGAAACCTATAAAATTTTATTAACCTAAGTCCTCCCAATAAATTCAATAAAATAATGAAGTAAAAAACAAAGAACAAATGCAGTATTTGACTTTAAATATTTTTAATTTGATAAATGATACATTTAAATATTTTTAACTTAAAGTCAAATACTTTTTATTTTTACACATGCCAATAGAAATGCATTATAATTTGAAACACCATGTTCTGAAGTGCCTTGGGCAATATGAAGATTGATGGGACATGGTCCTGCTTTGCAGGAGCTTTAAATTTGGTTGGGAATGTAGATAGGAAGGGAAATAATTGTAGCACGTATAGAATGTGATGTGTTTCCTCTGCCATAGGTGTAAAATCAAATGCCAATACTTAGGCTCTTTGTTATGATCAATGAGAATGAAATAAAATTAAGCACTAAGAATTTGTTTATTTCAGAAAGATAAAATCCTTTAAAATTTTTTTCATTTTATTATTTTATTTTTGTTAATTATGCTGTACCCATTATTGCTAGGGCTTTTTTCCCTATTGAAAAAAATTGAAAGTAACTTTCTGAGATAAAAGAAAGGTAGGGTGAAGGTGCATCTTCTTGTAGTAAACAGGTTTATATTAGAGGATCTTAAGAGAAGAATTCTAGAGGTTGAGAACTGAACCTTCTTACCTGTTTTTCACTTGTCTGCAAATTTATCTGTGTTACTCCCTCCACCCTAAACTCTCCAAGCTCATACACCCCTTTCTCCATCTCAGGCACATTTTCTTTGCCTTCACCAATAAGATAACATTGTTTCTTTTAATTCTTAGGGGCTTATCTCCAGCACAAGCTGATTCTCAGTTCTTAGAAAATGCAAAGAGACTTTCCATGTATGGCGTTGACCTACATCATGCCAAGGTAATGTAATGTAATGGCGAGGCAGCCTCTTTCCAGTCTCGTGACTAGCGTTTGAGAGGGCTCCAGGGTCAGAATAGCCTGGTTTGCCCTTAGGAAAAGGCTACTCACCCTCACCCATGGGCCTCTGTAATATTTCTTTGGTGACTAGTTGTGTTTATGGTGGTGGGAGGGTCCATTTATCCCCCGCCCCCCTTCTTTCTTCTCTTCCCAGTATTTTTAATTAATACCCTTTCATATGTACTTCTCCTAAGACTCACCATATGAGCCTTTTTGATCCTCCATCCAGGTGTATTCTGTGTCCCGGCTTTTGCTCTGCCAAGTGCAACCTCTGTCCCAGCTCCCTTTCCTGCATCTGTCTTGGGATCAGAGAGCAGACCTTAGCCACATGAAAGGGAAAAAGCAGCGTGGTTATTGACCACTGTCCCAAAGGCGCTCTGGGTGTGAAGGAGCTCTCCGTTTGGGTTTCTTCCTATTGATCTGTTTTGTATCTTTTATAAGGTAGAGTAGGCTGGCCCAGACTCTAGGTGACGTAGCACCTTCAGTCTAATTGGAGAGGTGGGAAGAGAATGAACTGAAGGAGATAGGTGATTGGAGAAGGTGGGGTGGGGTGGGTTAGGAGAATGATAGTAATAAACATCACCTACTTCATGATACTTGTTTGGATGACCACTTAGTGGGGAGAGTCAAGGAGAACAAGAGGTAAGGTGAAAGATGGATTTGATTTTGAAAAATATGGCCAGAGTCAACTCGACATGCTGAGAGAACGTGTGTTAGCCCCCTTGTAAAAGACCCTGCCAGTCCCTAGATGTGGCATAGGAAGCCCAGGTTAATGATTGCAAAATCTCCAGGAGAGCACTCCCCACCCGAAGATATCTTTCCTCCCTAGGCCTCAGATTCATACTCTTTGCTTTTGTGTTCATAGTACTTCGTATTTGCAAAGTACTCTTTTTCCTTCAGCGGCTTCCTTTATTCTTTAAATATTTTTTCATCATTACAAAAGTATTACATGTTCATCATAGAAAATAGAGGCAAACAGAAGAAAATAACAGCCACTGAAATCTGTGTGTGAAACAATCACTGGTAATATTTTTATACATTTTCTTATTTTAAAAACAGTCTTTGGGCAGTTGAACTCATACATTTTAAAAATGGGATTATGCTGCACTTTGTGAGGATTTTTTTTTTTAATTTTAACTTGCTTTTATAAACACTTTTCCATGTTAGCAAATAGTCCCTGGCAGCCAGCATTATTTTAACTGGTAGGAGCTGTATATCTTTTTAAAAGTATTTCCATATACACCATCTCATTTAAGAGTTGAATGTTTTTATTTTACAACACTAAAACAGTGCAGCAAATAACTTGCCTCAAGCCACATAGTATAAAGCCAGCTCCATCCGCCTGTATTTTGTGCTAAGTCACTAGGAGCTGCGACATCTTAACATTTGAGTGTCTTTCAGCTCATTTCTCTGTGTGATGGAGACAGGCTGGGTTGCTGAGAAACAGGTAAAGGAGAGAGGAGAGAACAGGTTTGGAGCAATATCCCTCCTCCTCTTAACCCTGTTACACCTGCCATATGTAAATCTTGCATATATCATTAGTTAGAAACCCATCCATCCTTCACTGAAATACTGGAAGGTTTTAAGATTCTTGATTTTATTGTTGAACCTTAGAATAGTAAAAAAGTTGCCAAATCCATAACAAGTATAATTAAAGTTCTTGCTCTGTGGTCAACAATTTAAAGTAACATTTATTCACTCATTCCTTCTATCATCTGATGGACTCTGGTAATGTTTGATAAGGATAAGCAAGATATTTGTAGCTCATTTGAAAGAATATCCGTAGCAATTAAAGTTTTTATGTCGTTTTTGTGCCTTAATACCTTTTCCGTTTTCTTGAGATCTTATTTAAAAATTTTTTAATAAATATTTTATTATCAGTTCTTAATGGCACACGCACATTAGGGCAAATTGGAGGACGTTGAATAAAGGTTCTCTTGGCAAAGGAACAGGGAAACCACAAGAGCAGTGGTGCCTCTGGGGTGGTATAACAGCAGCCCCTCTCTGGATCCAAAAGGTGGGGATAAGGAGTGGTTGCCGGAGCCTCGGAGAGGGCCGTCCTGCGAGGAGCTGTCATTGTCAAGGACACAGCCAGCCAGATGGCAGCCATACAGGGAGGGAATCTGGGTATTAAAAACCTTGACCACTCCCTCCCACCCTCCCTCCTCTCTCTGATCTTCTTTGAGAACTTTCCATAGGCTGAACCCTTCAGTCATGGGGGGGGTGGGGGCGGGACACGGTATCCTCTTAATAGTCGTGCGGGGCAGCTTCCTGAGGCAGTGAGCAAGGCAGAGAAGACGTTCTCCTTTTTATTAGTTTATTTCTCTGACTTTGTTGTTGAAAGTCAGAAGTCAGATATGAAGAACTAAGGCATGCTTTTTTTCCCCTTTCAGTTTTTATTGTTTATCTGTAATTTCTAGTCATACAAATACTGATGATTTTAAAACAATGTGTGGGACAACTGAAAATCAAGTTATTTACTTGGATCCAGATTTTGCTTATTTTTAAGTCAGATAAAATAGCTTCAGACTAGGGATGGCTTTGTTTAGTGTTTCAGATGAGGATTGCCTCCTTACTTGTGGTGAGAACATGCTGTCTTGGGAAATCTTCGGCCTGCTTCCTGTGACCGTGGCCAGCGATGGTTTTGGCAAACACACCATTTGTGTCTGGTGCCAAGTTCCTTGGGCACCTGTGCCTGATTCACCCCAGCCTTTTACTCTACTCTGTTCCTAGAGAGAGTTGTGGCTGCCAAGACACTGGTGAATAAAAAGTGCCTTATCGATTAGATTTTCAAACTTCCTCAGATGATCTAATGTAATTTTATTTATAAATATGAATTACTCACATATCAGCAACTAAAGCAATTGGCATCAGTTACCTAGAACTGTACTTTTATTTTTTAAAAAAACTAATACAAATTATGCTAAATTGTTCTCAGTTACAAGACAATCAAAATGTTATACTTTCATTGAATTAAGACCTAGACTAACTGTAGTGTTTCGGATTTTTTTTTTTTTTTTTGAGAATTTGTTCTCTTAATGATTGCTGAAAATGTTAGTATCTCTAATAATATTCTTCAATTTTATAGATTTTGCATTAGATTCAGTTTTTCCCTTAAAGATAAGCAGTTTGTATATTTGAATATTGTACATATTTTCAACACTACTTAAAATATGAGGAGCCAATTTTTTACTTTTGTCTGTAAACGTATTTGATAGTTTAAAACCTTTCAGGCTTGTGATTATTCCAGGTTGTCATCTATTCTAAATTAAAACACCGGGAAAGGAAAACAACATTAATAAGTTCAAGAATAGCCTGCAGTTCTTTGAATTACGCCAGCCAAAGGAATGCTGTACGAGAACTGGGTGGCAGCACTCCGAGTTAGTGAAGAACTACTTGAAAGAATTCAAAGATTTCAACATGGTCAGCCTAGAAGAGAAGTTTTCTGTGAGGGACTGGTGTTTTGCAAAATACAGGCATAACTTTAGCTATTTGCTGGAACAATCTGTCTGAGATAAATTTGCCTCAAGTAAAAGGCTCAATGTATTTGAGGCCAACATACTATCCCCTAGGGCTGGAATAGCCTCTTGGAAAACAGATTTAATCTCTCCTATCTCCAAGATACCTAAATTGTGTTGTGTTTCCTTTCTTCCTTGTTAGCTGTTAGAACTGAGGTTGGGAACATAAATTATGCCTTTAGAAGAATACCACATCCTGTCATCATGTTTTGACTTCTTTGGCAAGTCAAATCTGATCCCTGAAGGATGACTAGATTTAAGATGTGTTGTGTGTTTCTATTAATTTGTGTGCTGTCGCTGGAATTTAACCACAAACCTGTTAAGTTGGTATTCCCAGTCATGGTTTGAGGGGCTAATGAGCTTTGGATCTGTGTAACTTTCACAAACTCTAACCATTGTCAAATGGCTTATGCTTGGCAGGACTCAGAAGGCGTGGACATCAAGCTGGGCGTGTGTGCTAATGGGCTCCTCATTTACAAAGACAGACTGAGAATCAATCGTTTTGCTTGGCCAAAAATCTTGAAAATTTCCTATAAGCGCAGTAACTTCTACATTAAAGTTAGGCCAGCAGAGGTAAGCATGTTATGTAGCCCTGGGCCTGCCTGATCAGGCTTTGTCACTGTTCTCCGTTTTGGCCATGAACTAGCTAACTGAATTCTTTTCACTGGATTGAAGAAAATGAACTATTCTTTATTCCTCTGTGGTAAAAAAAAGGTCAGGGTTCTTGATGATAAACCTGCATATACGTATATCCTTGTTGCTAAAAACAAGCAACAGCCACAATTTCACAGAACAACAGGAAAGATAGTAAGTGCCTGCACATTGTGGGGGCTCTTGTTTTGTTTTGTTTATTTATTTTTTAATCAAGTGTGCGGTAGAGATCCATAGGAAGATGGTAAAATGAGTTTTAGTGGACACTGAAGGATAGTTGCTTTATGTCAGTGGTTGTATACCTACTTTTCATAGAAACTAGTATTGAACTATCCATTTTGTATAATTCTATTAGACACGCTCATACTTTTTCAAGAAGAATTACTTTTTAGAGAAAATCTGAATCTGTGTTTCTCAGTAGCTTCTAGTAACTCTTAAAGAAATATGCTGATTTACCTTATGGATTTATTGTAGCAGGAACAGTTTGAGAGCACCATTGGATTCAAACTGCCGAACCACCGGGCTGCAAAAAGGCTATGGAAAGTGTGCGTGGAGCATCACACTTTTTACAGGTAATGGAAAGGACACAGCTTAAAATTAATTACAACAGCTCTTGGTACCCTCTCCATCCTGGGAGGTGGTAGTTGAGAGTGTGACAGATGCAGCAACACCCGTTACGGCTCTTTGCTCACCTCAGTGTCAGGTCTCCTTCGTCCGCACAGTCCTCTCCCATGCCTATTTCTGTTGCCCAGGCCATGCCTTGTCATCACGCCGAACTGTCTGCCTCTGCAGTGATCCTAAATGCCACACTTTCTGACTGCAGCCACCCTTCCCCCCGACCGCCACCACCGTCTCCTAACCCGGCCGCCACTCCTCATTCCACCGTCGCTCATCCTAGGTTTCATTTAGCAGTTCTTATCAGCTTCCCTCCTGCTCAGCTTCTTTCCTAAACCAGCTTGAACCCTTTGGTCTGCCCCTCTGCCACTTTATCAAGAATCTTCTAACCTCCTCAAGACCCTGCCCTTCTTGCACGTCCGCCTGCCAATACGCTGGTCCTAGATTTGTCCTGTGTCCTGACCTCACCATTTCTGTACCTGTGCTATATCAAGTGCTACCTTAAATAGCACAGTTGTCCTGATACACACACTCATTCTCTTTTTTTTTTTTTTTTTTTTAATGCATACACATATACACATTCTGTATCAGAGAAAATCACACAAGTCTATGGGTTAGTACTATTCCAGGCGTATCAGTTATATCAGTCAGATCCTCAGTGCTACAGGGTAGTTGATCCTTCCACTTTCCTTCCCATTCCAAATATTCATGGCTATCTCGCGCCTGTCAATGGTACCCCCTGCCTTGCTGCTCAGATGCCCTCCATTGTGTGATACACTGTTAGAAGCCGTGGGTCCGGAGTGTTGTTGGTCCTATGCATCTTCTCTTTTTCTTCTTCCGACTGTAATTAACCATCATTCTCCCCTCTCTTCATTCATTTTTTTCTTTCTCTTGTCTCAAGGAGAAAGTAGCCGTTCCTCTACCGTTGTCCCTCATTTCATGCCTCCCATAGGACTGTGCTTTGTAAATTTGCTTCTCTCTTTCCAGTGGGTGCCTTTAACTTCCTCTTTGGCCAATAAACACGTGTATGTCTTGCTTCCTTAAAAACTGTGAGAAGAGAAGATCTCCTTAAACCTTCTAGTTTTCTTTAGCTTATTACCTGTCTCTTGTCATACTTTTGTTCAAAGGCATGTTTCTTGTATCACTATTCTTAGCAAAGAGTACTTTGCTGGTCTTCATTATGTCTATTTCCTCAACTTCCTATCACTGTGCAATATTTAGCTGTATCTAGACCCTTCACCTTTAAGGTTTTTGCTCTGGACTGTTAGGCTCTAACCCTGTTCCTCCACGTGCCAGGCATGCATGTGACTGTGGGTAAGTTACTCCACCTTTCCCAGTCTCACTTTCCTCATCCATTTGATAGTGGTAATAATCATATCTGCTTTATAGGGTTCTTTTGAAAAGCAAATGAAATTACACATGTGAAACAAACTTAGAACCTCTGCTATGTTTATTGTCATCGTTCTCATTATTCTTAGTTTGGTACCACAGTGTGCTATTTATCTGTTTTCAAGACTGCCCTAATAGACTCATTTTAGAGGAGAAGTGCAACTCGTAAAGTATACCTAAATCCATCTGACATGATTACAGTGATCATTTAAATCTTTGAAAAGTTTACAGTTTCTCTTGGTAGCCATGGGATCTTTCTCCTAAGACAACATGAGCCTGGCTCAGATATAGCTAGGAGGTAACATTTTATGAGTGAAATGACATGGGTCCCCGGAAGCACAGGCAGCAGGCTTCCCTGTTCAGGAGCGATGATAAAAGCAATAATCATGTTACACTTGATCTTAGCCAAAAGGCTGAGCAGCAATAAAAGCAATAATCATTTTAGAAATGGCAAGTGCTGCCATTTATTGAGCGTATATTGTTGTCAGACACAGAACTGATTGCTTTACATAGTCCCCTCTCGTTTATTCCTCACCCCACGTGGAGGCTGCGGCTCAGAGCTGGGTACCCGCGGCAGGGCTCAGAGGCCAGGCATGCAGGTGGAGGTGGAGGCCAGGCGTTCTGATTCTAAAGCCCAGTTCTTTACCCCTGTACTGTCCTCCTGCCTGTATTCTAGGAGTTTCTGAGATGTCTGTTAGCTCTGCAAAGCCTCAGGTGCTGCCATCATTTTTGCTCACGTAACTCCAGTTTTAAAACATATCCGTTTCCTCCTGCAGACTCTTAGGATAATAATTAATAAAAAACATTTTTGTGTCTTTAAATCTTGTATAACGTTGCTCACAAATGGTATCAAACGTGTATATAACACAGGGCAAGTTTGTCTGCAGAATGCTTTGAATCCAGTCCGTGGATTTTGTTTTAGTTTATCACAAAAGATGCGAGTGATTTCTTTACAAAATTAAAATGGCTTTCAGTTTGAAGCTGTAAGCAGATCTTTGTAATGATTGACAGACAGCCTCTAAGCTAGACTAATATTAGTGGAGCAAGAATATCATAAAGCTGCTATTAAAGCTTGCTTGACCAGTTAATAGAGCCCATCACCATTCTAAATGCTGTGCATGATAATTTTATGAATCCTTTTAACACATCTTCTAGGGCAGGTGCAATTATCTTCACTTACATATGGAGAAACTGAGGAGCAGAGAAGTTAAGAAATATGCCCTTAGTCATATAGCTAATAACAAGCGGTGATGGAATTCAGACCCAGGTAGTGTGGCTCCAGGTGCCCACAGGCGTATCCACTGTGCTAGACTTCCCAACTGAATTTGTAGCTGATGTTTCCTGGCATTTTCTCAATGTTTTTTTGAGGGGTTGGGGGGGGCAGCGTGTAGACGGTATATAAACAAGATTAACGTGAGGTCCTCTAGCTTAACATTAAACTGCCCTTTAAACCTGGCATTGTAAATCCAGGGTAATCCCAAGTGAATTAGTGTCATCAGCCACTCCAAAAAAGCTCTCTTTTTTGGAAACCTGTGGCACTCGTTAAATGTATGGTGGATTTACTAATTGGTTTGTGGGTTTTATTAAAATGTTCATTTCACACAGATAAACATTAATAATACTTGGTTTATAATTATAGGACTGATATAAAATTAAAATGTTCATATACTTCTTAAGCAGTGAAATATGTAAAAGTTGAATTTCTTTGTAACGCATCATTACTACATTATCTTGCTTCAGGCTTTTAACACTGATGATTAGTTCCTTATCATAGCTTTTAAATTTCCAAAAATGAAATGATAGATGCCTTATAGTGGTTTTGATGTTATTCTTATGAAGGTAGGGTCTGATGTGGAAAATAAAAACAATATCAAAAGAAAATAAAGTGATTTTTGAAGTGATAGTATTGAAATATTTTATTGATTGGTCTACATTTTCTTACAAAAATTATTTATATTATCATTGACTTAAATCACCAAAAAAAAATTTTTTTTAGAGAGAGCTAGTAAGTGTCTGTGGTCAAGTCAACCCTTTTTTGTTTTGATGTTTGCTTCTGTTTAATTGAAGTGTAATTACTTAAGGATTTTTTGTGTGTGTGTCATCAGAAAATCTGTAAGCTAATATTTTATGTATGTGGTTACCAGTGCCAGTCTGGCAAGAAAGTGTTTTATCTCAATTTGAAAGAAAATAAAACATGCTATAGTTTAATGACTGCCTCTTTTGCATTGTGATACATATCCTTACAAAATCTACTGGCAAAAAATGACAGATTTTAAGAAACATTTCTACCATCCTACAATGAGTAAAGCCAAGAGAGCCAGAGTGTTTTAGTTCTTCTTTCATTAGTTTAATTTTAACACTTTCTTTTTTTTTTTTTTGCAGAGGGGTTAATACTCCGCAGAATCCTTAATAAATGAAGGATCGCCTCTTGTATTATTATATGTAGCTTTACCTTCACTCGAATCTTTTTTCATTGCTTATTAAGCAGAATAAGACTTCTAAAAAAGTTGGGCAAAAGGTCTAGAAATACTTGAAATGGTAACAAATTCTTAAAGAAATCTCTTATTTGGAATATGATAGGAAAAATTTTGGTAGCATTCTCCATATTGTGGAATTGTCAACTAAAGCCTTCTTGTTTAATAAACTCTACAAGAGCTCTGAGATTTTTGTTGTTTTTGTTAAGATGTTTTGCCAACTCTTGATCCAAGGATGAAAGTGAGGAAATTTCTGTTGTATTCCAGATAAGCTTGCTTATTTACGAAAAAACATGCTTTTGCATCCATGGAAGTATTTGACATTAAGTTTCAACTTTATTGATTATGAACTATAGGTTTAACCAGTAGAGTTGTGCTAGCAAGGAAGGATGTTAGTCATCTCTGCAGATCCACCGTGTGCTGCGTTTTTCATGGGAAAGCATTGCTTAATGGAATAAATTCCTGAATTAGATGTTCTTTCCCAGAAGAAATAGACATAAATATTAAGAATTACTAATGGTAATGGATTGCGATTTGGCTCTTAACAGCTAGGAGGAAGACTTCAGACATAAGTGTTTATCTAAACCATTTAAGCTAATACAAGTAAATTACCTTTGATACACACTGAGAACAGCTGCACTTTTGCTCAGGTTGAGGAAAACATAATATTCATGTGTACATCAATATGGATTTATTTATCACTATTGTCAAGCTCTTATGTGTATAAATGTCCTTTTTCATTAGTTTGGTCATCCTTTTTTTTTCTAGATTGAGTGATCATAATAAAATCAGTTAGTTTTTAAATTCATAAAGAATCCATAAATTATAATTTTGTTCCTTTATCTCCCACTGTAGGCTTGTGTCTCCAGAGCAGCCACCAAAGGCCAAGTTCCTGACCTTGGGGTCCAAATTCCGCTACAGTGGCCGCACCCAGGCCCAGACCCGCCAGGCAAGCACCCTCATTGATAGGCCAGCGCCACACTTTGAGCGCACATCTAGTAAGCGGGTCTCCAGGATTCTAGATGGAGGTAAACACATTTATGGTAGTTTTGGATTTCATTAATCTTTCTAATCCAATGGGATCAGAAAAGGTCGATCTAGTTGATAGGACCCCCAGCAGTACCCTAGAGGGGTAGCTATTTTTTCTGAATAAATGAAGGTCTATTTCTTATACTCACAAGGAAAGATGGTAGTGTTTTGAAGTTGTCATTCTGAAACTTAAGGGTTTTTTTTTTTCATAGTATCAGTGGACACAAATGTAGCTAAGAGTTCTCATTGATAAGATGTTGGATAAATACAGATTTACTGGTCCGACTTAAGTATGATGTATTTTATGTGGCTTAATTTCTTGGCAGATATGTAATTTCAAGAGTTTTTGGTGTGGTAACATCTGAACTTTTATTCAAAGACACTTAAAACATTCAGATTTTTATGAGTTTAGAAACTCTGACTGAAGCTAACCAAGCATCCCAGCAACTGAGAAACCACTCACAGCTTCAAAACATTAGTTTAAATAATCTGTTTTAACAAAAGGAAAGGAAATGTATTTGTTTGCTCTTTCGGCCAAAGGGAAATATGTATAAATTTGTAGGTATTTCCTGTTGGAATTCTAATTAGTTACATATTTGTAGTTTTATTTAAATTATACTTAGAAATAAGTTGATGTTGCTTCCTTTCATGTGTGTATCTTAGTACCCTAATTTTGAGTTACCATATTTTGCTGTGTATAATGCGCACTTTCTTGCCCAAGTTTTTGAGGCAAGAAAAGAGGATACACATTATCCATGGGTGGTAGTACTAATTCCATATCTATGTAAACTTTTTAATTTTTTTATTTATGCTTATGCATTTAAAATGTAACTCTAGAAAGCAATAACAATATCTGTGTGCAAAATAATACCCTGGAATATGATAATCGGTTTTGTTTCTAAATATAAATAAATAAAAAATTAATTAAAAAATTAAAATGAAAATGAAAGATTTTTTCCTGAAAGTTTGGGCCAGAAACATGGGTGTGCATTATACATGGCCAAATACGATTAATAGCAGGTTTCCTAAAAAATAAGTAAGGTTAATTTTATATCAGAATATTTTATGAAGGACTAAATTTTTTTTTTAACCTAAAATAAGGTAATTGGTGTGGATGACTTTTCTACCAGAAGAAGTAATGTAACAACACTTTTGTTGATGAATCTCAAAACAGACACAAAAACAGTTATATAAACTTTAAAAATTCTGTTTTACCTTAATCAGCAGAAACTTTTTTTCCATGGCTTGTTGTTACTGATATCTTTTTGCAATATGAATTTGAATAACGGATTTTAAATAATTAGCTAAAACAGACTGGATATGCTAATAGATAAAAACATTCTCTCATTAGTGAAGGATTGACACCCCTTGGGCTCGATCTGCTTTTTCTGGAATAAACTTGGAAAAGAGATCCAGGCATACACATGGAGATGCTTCTCAGGCTTTGTTGGTGGGCGTCTTGGTGTATATAGTTATTGAAAGTTGCTTCTGGAGAATCTTCAGTATAGTTTTTTGAGACCACCCAAAAAAAGGACAAGGGGAGCGTAAACTTGTTCAAATAAATGTCCACATTCCCAAATGTTGAGATTTAAATTAAGTGAATTCTTAATGTAAGATAGCTGTCAGTGTAACTTTTAGCTAATTGGTGACTGAACATTTTTCAAGTAAATGTGAAAAATGTGCCCACTTACGTAAATATTTCACAAGCTTTGCTCCTTGTTAAAGAGAATTTATGCAAGTGCTGAATAAATGCAGTCAGTGTTGTTTAATGCCCTGGGAGAAATCATTCCTCTTTCTGGAACACTGTCTGTTTCAGCCTTTGTTTTAAATTGTGAGACTTTATAACTCTTACATTGCGAATTTTAGAGTTTATAAAGAAGAGTAAACTACTGCGATTTCTGTGAGGTATATCAACTGTGCTCAAGGAAACCCACCATCTTACATGGGCAACTAGTGCAGAGGGTTATAATAGGTTTGTATCTGAAAACAATGATTTTTACAAGTAAAAGCAGCAAACATGGCACAGTAATCCATTATTTTTCCTTTTGTGTTTTGGACACTGTAATTCATCAGATGGGCAAGTTATCAAAAGGATTATTGTGTTATAGTGAAAAATAGAAGGCTTTTCATGCCAGTGCAGGACCAGACAGCTAGTGAACTATTTGGTTGGGGCTTATATTCTCCTTTTTTTTCCCCTCCTTGAAGCAAAGCGAGGCTGTAGCCTGGTACTGAGCTTTATTTTTTTCCCACCATTCCCCATTAATATCCTATTTTGTTGTTGTTGACATGTGTTGTATTCTATTTTTCATGTTTAGTTTTTAAAGCTAGCCTAAACTCATATAGATATATGTATAAATGTCCTAACTTTAAGGTTTGACAAATTAAATCTTCTAGTGATTACACAGAACATAAAAATCAATGTCATATCTAAAATCAAATATCAAAATAAAAGCCAATCTAGAATAGCTGTTTTAGCACAGTGAGATTCTAATATTGGAAAAGCAAACCAAAAAGGAGGTAGATGAGTCATTTAAATAACTGAGGTGCATTTGAGAGCAGGGGAAGCAATGATTTCATGAAAGGGGAAAATATTATAAGCAGGGACACTAGTTAGATTGAGTCATCTGGCAACAGAGACCGATCCGAAGAAGAACTATTAGGCAGCCATGCGTAGAGCAGGACATAGAGCATTGCATGCAGCAGGAGGAACAGGTCTGAAGGTGAAGACTAAGGAGAGCTTGATGCATTCCAGAGCAGAAAGAAGGCATATGTAGTCACAGCTTAGTAAGTGATGGGGAGAGGTAGGCTGGGGCAGGCCATGCAGGGCCTTGCAGGCCATGGTAAAGAATGTGGTTTTTATTTTAGTTGTCGGAAACTGCTGTAAGTTTTCTTGTGTGTGTGTGTGTGTGTGTGTACAGATGTGTACACATGTGTGCTAGCACATAAGCACACAGTGTTATCTTTTTAAAAAAGAATAACTTTGCAGTTGAAAATGATTAGCGAGGACGAAAGAGGAATCAGGCGGACTGGTTGGGAATAGTCCAGTTGATAGTAACGGTCTTGCTTTGGTGATAGGGGAGGCTATTTAGCCATTTGGCACCCTAAGTTCAGTGCTTGGGGCATATTTCATACAAACTTTTCAGGGTTCTGTAAGTGTTAAAGACCTGAAAAAAAAATGAATTGCTTCAAAATCCAAAAAACAAACAAAAACCCCCCTGCAAACTGAAATTATTAAGTGTTTAAAAGTATGCAAAGTCAACATTTGGTCAACATCCTTGTGTAACTTTAAATTTGAAATTCATTGAAGTTTTGACATTATACCTGAAACCATTTCTAGATCAAATTTTTCCCATTTTGCATTAATTTCTGAGTATGTGTAAGGGTGTTTAAAAGAGTTACTCAGAACTGTATACTTTCCAAGGGAAAATTATGAAAATCTTAAAAGTTACAAAAAAATCCTGAAAAATTGTTATACTTAATGTAAGATATGAGTTCATTTTATGACATTCTGTGAGTTTCAAAAGTATGAGTACCTAATGACTGTGAAAGATTTCAAAGGACCCAGTTGCTAAAATAGAGATAGAAGAACTGTCCACATTTAGAAATAGGCTATTTCTCAGTGTGTTTGATGTTGACTTGCTGGTGTTGAGGGGTGAAGGAAGAGCCTTTGAGGCTTCTGGCTTGAGTAACTGGGTACAAATACGGGGGTGGCCAGAAAGGCAAGACAGGAGAAGAAGGAAGTTTTAGTCAGCGCACGTGAGGGGTGTGGATCAAAGGTTTCTTGGAAAACATGGACTAGAGGCGCTTGGTGCCTCCCCAGGTCAGTGTGGTGGATCACACACAGTCCCTGCCCTCCAGGAGCTTGCAGCCCAAAGGCCTTCGTGGTTACTGGGCTTCTCTGGGGGCGTGGAACTGGGCCAATCAAGCACCTTTCATACAACTGAATGACCTCTGGTTGTTCCCGTGGTTTGAGGGAGAAAGTGCAGATAGGCAGGCTTTGCCAGTGGCTGCTCACTTTACCTTGTTGAGACCTGCGGCCGTCTTGGCTGATCTGCCACATGATACAGATTTCAATGCAGTGTTCCTCCTGCCCATCTGTGGGAAAGATGAAGGGATCACATGAGGGCTGCGTTTCCTGAGTGGGAGAGCGTCTATGTCTGAAGTTTACTGTTAGGTCAAGTTGAGGCATTGAGGAGGCAGGTTAGAAAAATGAACATTTAAACATAAAGAAGTTCATTTCCTAAAATCTACCTTTACTGTCTTGTCACAATTTTAAAGGGCATTCAAATTAAAGGTTCTTCTATGGGAGAATTCTTTCAACTTATCAAAGCAAATCATTTTAGTAAATATTTGTTTCAGAAATTGATTCAGAATAAGCTCAGACAAGATCAAAGAAACCCCAGTGAATTACAATAGTACTTACATTGTAATTCTGACACACTGCTTTGACTTGTGTTTCAGCCGGTCCTGGAGCTCCTTCTACTGGCTAATTCCATGATCAGTGTATATCCTTCAAAACACTGATTTGAGAACCTGGTGTAGTTTAGTGGATTAAAATGCAGAATCCTTTTAGAGTCTGGGAGAATTTAGAGATGAGTTTACTTGATATGTTGGTGTTTTCAGAGCTCAGACAACCTTCAAATAATGCTGCCTGTTTATCTGTGTAAAGGAGGTAAGTTTCATAGCTTTTCACCACATAAATGTCCTAACCTAATCCAAACGGTGGTTCTTTACTAGCTCTAATTGGTGATGTGGACCAAAGTCTTAGGAAGGATTTTCCTGGCCCTGCTGGGGAGGTGTCAGCGTATGGCCGTGGAGCTGTCGGCGCTGTTACAGTCCAGGATGCAGATGGCAGGAGGGACATCAGAAGCCCCACTAAAGCCCCACATGTGCAGCTCATTGAAGGAAAGGTATGGTAAATTAATAGAATATGTGATTTTAAATGTGTACTTAGACTAGAGGCTATCTGCTGCATTTGTTATTTCAGAATTCAAATTATTTAAAAATCAGTCCATGTATGTTCTCTGTTGATACAACTTTCTAGTTTTCAGATATGTGTAGACTCTTGCTGGTTTGGACAGGGTCCCTAACCTTTTTCTCGTTGGTGTTCAAAGCAAAATATTTCAGCATAAATTATATTAATGCAAGTAAGTAATTTATTGGTCTTTTTTACTCTCTTCATAATCATTTTATTTAAATCCCCAAATGATAAAAGCTATGATTATTTGAAATTTATATTTGTTTGTTACAAGTAAATTTTTAAAGTATAACCTGTCTTACTATTTTAACTTAAATTTTGGAATGACTAAAATTTTTTGGAATGAACAAAGGTGGTCTTTATGAAAAATACGATTTTCATTAATAATCTATAACTGATGAAATTGTTTAACAAAGGATAATTGTTTTGTGAACAGTGAGAAGATGGTGTGTTGCTTTTGGCTGTGTTTGTTGCATATCCCATACTGAGTGGAGAAAGTACCCTGTACTATGTTTTCAAATTTGTCACTGTTATTTTATGTTACCTTAGGCAAGTAAAGTCACTTAGAGATTGATTTGAAGAGGCTTTGAGTTCTTCAGATCTCTTTTCTGTACCTGCACAAAGCAACACAAAAAAGAAATGAAGTCATTCTGTAGGTTTATAATATTTTCTGAATTTTAACTTTGAAAATTCTAAAGACATATATCATGAATTCATGAAGAACCTGCTAGATGAAGTAGCTGCCAGCTCCTCAGGAATTCAACACCCCCTAATACCCAGCGTGGGGGTGGGGTGGGGAGCGGGGCCCTGTGGACTCTTGCCGCAAGGACAGGGGCTTCAGGTAGCATGTGCTGTCAGATCACCTGCATAACTTTATTACAGACTTTGTGAGTATTATATTTTTAAAATTATTTGGTCAAAAGTTATTTAGTGTTAAATATAACAGAAATCATGTTCAACAAAGTATCCTTTAACTGCTGAAAAGTTGTCAGAATCTTTTATGATTATGCTGATGAGGCACCCAGGAGAGTGCTGATAAAGGAAAAGCTCAGCAGTTCAAAGTCTCTGTTTCATTTTGCCTGGTTAATTTGATACATCCAGTTATTTTCTAAAGTTCTTTTAAATTCCAAAGGAAATCCTGCTTATCTTCAGTAAAAGACTGTGTTGGCCTTTTTGCTAATGCTCTGAATGTCTGTCATCACCCAGGTTTAAAAGTAATAATGCTATTTGAGTTTCATTAGCTCTATTTGCAACCAGTTAGAAAGATAATAATTAAATTAGTCTACACCTTTACGTGTACAATTTACGTGCTAAAAGTAGTTGTTTTCCTCTTTAAAAATGGATCATTAAATTCATTTTCTAACCACACTGTGTTAATACGATCTCTACTTTTGAGTAAAATTGTTGACTAACTACCCATTTCTTCTCTCCTTTCTCTCCCTTGCCTTTGTTTCTCCTTTGAATGCATCTGTTGTGTAATTTCACATCCAACCATGGATTTGCTCCTGAGAGCAGCCTATTTTCACATGCCCACCTTCACCATTCATCCGCCATGCTTCATTTCTTTCCCCAAACTTGTTGCCAGTCCCTGAAATGGACTTGCTTTCAGACATTTCGGAGGAAGACCCCTTTGGGGAGGCCGACCAAATCACACTTGACAGCTTAGAGCTCCTTTCCACAGGGGAAACATCAGAGCAGGGGGACTGTGAAGCCGCTGTCCTTGATTCCGTCTTGGATCCTGTTATAGCCCCTTCTCGGATTGACTCTCCTCCCACCCATGAGCAGCCTCTAAAAGAGGCTGACCACAAGGATTCTGAGTTGGGGTACTTTTCCTTCAGTTTCTGCAAATGCTTGCCATCCGGCTTCCCCTCACTCCTCGATGAAGATGGGTATCTTGCTTTCCCCAGCCTCCCCAAGGTCTGGGTCTCCTTCCTCCCTGCTGACATCCAGCACTATGTTCCTATCACCTCCCCTTCATTCCTTCCTTCCCTCATCCTCATCTTTGGGCTACTTCTCTCTGCTTCTCAGTCAGTGCCTTTTTCCCTCACCTTTTCCCTTCCTCTGGCTCTATGCCTCTGCTACCTGGAGACTAAAGCCACTCCTTTTAATGTGGCTTATGACTGTAACTTGAATGACAGAACAGAGGAAGAGGAAGCAGTTGTTGGTACTCCTACATAGTCTTCAATTTGTGCAGTCAACAGAACTACACTTCATTTTAAACCCTTCCTAATGTAGAGTGTAAACGTGTGCATAAACTTTACCACTGATTACCGTCAATATAGTCTGAGCTGTACCTGCTCACACATATAGCATTTCAGTGCATGAGAAACAAGTGTAAGCATTTCCCCTTTCATTGATGTCTATTGACCAGGTCCTCACATTCTGAGTTGAAAGCAAACTTACAGGACTATTTTATAAATAGCTATAGACCTTACTAGGTCTTAAAAAAAGAACTTAGAATGCAGTAGACATCACTGTAATTGATGTATATTATTAGAACTCCTTATTATTTCTTTTGTTAGAAAGCCAGACTTGTTTTTCTTGAACATATGAGGATGCATCTTTACTCTTTTACTTCTGAAATTTGTAGGTATAATCTTAGAAACTCCTTGTCTCCCTATTATTGTAGCATCTGGAGACCAGATGACTTTCAGGTAGAGTTTTTTTTTTTTTTTTTTTTTTTTTTTTAAACTCTAAATCATGTAACTGTATGACAGAGTTACCGTCAGGTATTTTGTAAGAAAGATACTATTCTGTTATCTTTTCTTTAACAAAACACTATATGCAATGTATATGGAAAATGAAACAAGGCTTTTTGAAAATTTAGAATATATAGCCCTAAGGTTGGGCCTCTTAGTGTTCTTTTATTTAGAATTAGGTATCTGGTTTGAGGATTTTTACCTCTTTGTAGGGCTACCTCTGTACTGCTAGTCAGTCAGTGCTAATGTGTATGTTATTGATTGTTTTTCTAAATGTGGTCTGGTGACTTAGTGTTTCAATATCCTGAGGTTACTATCAATACAAAGAGTATGTCACAAAATTTAGAGCAAACCTAAAGAAAAATGTGAAGATAATACTATGTATGATTAGGCATTGTGGGAGAAACCATGGTTCTGAAAGGTTACCTGCAGATGTCAAAGATGGAGATTTTAGAGAACTCACTGTTGACCAAGGAATTGGAAGCTAATTCTTAAAAGGATTGGGTTGGCTGTGTCTCATTTTTACCTTCTGATAAAAAGATACTGTGACCTTCTTTCTGACTTCTCAAAAATACTGGAAATTTTTTCTTTAAAAGAGCATTTTGAACTCTCTCAGATTCAACACTATCATTTTAGTAAAGGGAAAGAAAAAAAAAGAATAGGATATATATGACCCTGCTATCAATTAACATGTAAAGGTTAAACTATTTTCCTTTGGTATCAGAATCAGTATGTTTTTTCTTGCCATTCCTGTCCCTGAGTCAGTAGTCATCGGTATCTAGCCAGTTTTAAATTTACAAATTTATTCTTTTTGTATGTTAAATGCTTAGAATTGTCCAACTATGGAAAATGGTTCTCGTTTAAAGAATTTTATGAAAGAAAAGTGACTATATTTCAATGAGTTTTTTTAAATATCCACCATTTTAACATGAATGTAGCAAAGTAGACCAATTTCCACCAAGGAAAGAAACCTATGTTAAAAAACTGAATAATAGTATGAACATTTGTTCCTAACATGAAGCAAAAGCCAAATTTTACATCATTGTACTTTGCTCTCACTCATAATTAGTTCATTTAGACATTTCAAATGAGAACAGGTTGAATTATGCCATTTTTACACTCTCCTATTTTCATTCCTGAGTAAAAGTATATATACACATAATTTTTTGTGTTTGTGTGTGTGTGTATATATATATACACACATACACAGAAAAGCAGTGCATATAATTTAGGGACTGAGAAAGAGTGAAGCTTCCATTCTCCATTCCACCTTTGCAAAGGATCATTTCTATCATTTATACAACACTGTAGGTGAAGAGAGACCAAAGTGGCTTAATATTCTGCATCTTCTGAGGGCCACACAATAAAGGTTGGTAATGCTGGTTTACCATTGAAGTTCAAATACAGCTTCTTTGCACCTAGAGTTTCCACTAATTCTTCAATGTTCTGGCCATTTGCTGTATGACTTTTCAGGTGAAGATGGAAGAAGAGGAAACGCAGCTGGAGGAGGTGGATATTTTTTCTGCAAAAATAAAAGCTGGTGGCTGCTGCCTGCCATTATTATTGTGTGGGGGGGGGATGATGCACTCTCAGGGTTTATTTGTGAGTTTTGTTTGTGGTGGCTTGAGGTTCTTAAGATTTTTATCACTTTTAATGTCTTAGACTATCCAAGTCAGGGTTGTTTCTGGTGCTTGCTGATTCATACACTTATGTTTATTTGCTTTTTCCCCCTCTGTGTGTGATTTAATTTCACAGAAAAATTCCTTGAGAGTAGAAGGGGATAATATTTATGTCAGACATAGCAATTTAATGTTGGAGGTTTGTATAAATTTAAGAAAACAACTCTCCTGATGGCTGCCAGGCTGCTGTGGACGGGAGGTCACTCACAGGCTGGCTGGCAACTCTTTTCAAGCACAGTGCATGACATGCATGGGGAAAATTCAAGTCGGGAATGCATGTTACCAGTCCAACTTTGTTCTTTTAAAGTGGCTTAGGTAGGAATATATACACTAGAAGCTCTCAAAGTGACAACTGGGAAAAAAAGTTCTATTTCATCAAATGAATGAAGTTTTTATCCATTAATCTTGAAGTTCGATAAGTAAACTTACTCTCTCCTTAATGGGCTATCTCTCATTAAGGCATGGAATCTGAAGTAATATGATCCCATCCTTTATATACATTAACCAGAAAAGATATTTGTTGATCCGACATTAAAACATTTTACTCTCAATCTCTGTCCACATTTTTTTTGCGGAGTTGGGACGTGTTTGGTCGCTCTAAAGTCCATGCAATTAGGAGTGTGGCCCACTTAAAGTGTTCCATTTGAGAGTATGCTAATTAATGGAATTATTATGATTAAGAAGAAAAAAAATAAATGAAAGAAAGGGGGGGAACCCCTACCCACCCAATTAGGAATGTAAATTATATTCCCCGTGTCACACGAGAACTTTTTTTTCCCCTTATTTTAGGGTAGTACAGGGCAATGTATTTAGTGGTGAACTGCAATTCTGAGTAATCTGACTAATCATTTTGGTTGCTTTTGGCAGCTTTGATAATTGTTGGAAATGTATTTTTGCATAACTTACTAAACTGCTCTAAAGTGTAAAATATAACATTGCTTTGAACAAATACAAGAAATGTGCCTGATCTCAAGCCACAGTCATTTTTCTATGCCATGCAAAGATTTTTAGATTTTCATGAGTTTTTGCAAATGGCTGTAGAAGCTCACAGATGAGCAACTATGCTTGTGCATGAATATGGAATATCTAATTTTATCAGATGCATGACCTGTTCCTCTGGGAGTGGGATGAAAGCTATAGTCCATAGGTGGCCCTTATGATTTTTCAAAGTAAGAATATATTTAAAATTCAGTTAAAATCATTTCCTGGAAAATAATTAGCTTTAATTCTTGCACACACTAGTTATCAGGGCCGATATAAAAATCCCACAAATACCATTCATCAGGGCCTACTCCATTGAAAATCAACAAGGTAATTTTTCCTGCATTTCTGTCTGTATAAGGACCATTTGCTCTGTTGGGCAGCTGACCCCCACATTTGTGCTCGGCAAGTACATGAAACCAGTATGAGATTCACTTATTATATAGAGAGGTCAAATACAAGCAGCATATGGAAGCCACTGCTGAAGTTTCCTAAAAAAAGTCAGTCCCTGCCTCAACCACTTTTTTGGGTGGCTGATCCTGGGTGAGCTTTCCCATTAGGCCAAATGTGCTTCTGAGTTCACCTTTCTCTCTTTTTACTTGATTTAGTATGTTCGCAAAAGGCAATTTTAGTAATTGGTAGCCCTAATCAGAAAGATGAACTGACAAGAACAAAGGCGTGAGCTGTGTTTGAAATCCAACTATTGGAAGGGTTATTAACCATTTTGAGTATAGTTCTATGACTTCCTTCTAATGATATAAAAAGTTATTCCTTAAAAAAATTCTAATCAGACAAGACATTAGAACCCTTTAAAATGTGAATCATAAACATAATTGCTCATTGACTTTATTTTCAAATTTTGAGGAACTCATTAAGGCTACTCATAGGTGATAATATGGCTTTTGAGACTTGGCATTTTTCTTGCTTTACTATGTTATTTTTAATCATAAGTTTGCTTTGTCTTATTTTTTGGTTTTACTTTTTGATTTTATTTTTGTCCTACTGGGTGTTTTTCCTTTTGGACCCTTCCCCCCTCTTTATTACGTTACACATTGCTAGGACCTGGATAAGGCCCAGGAGGACATACTGAAACATCAGGCTAGCATTAGTGAACTCAAGCGCAATTTTATGGAATCCACACCTGAGCCGCGCCCTAATGAATGGGAAAAACGACGTATCACACCTCTGTCCCTACAGACACAAGGGGTATGTCACTAGCTATTTATTGGCTATATGTCTCCAGCTTTTCAGTAAAACTCAGGTTGCTAATCTCTGATGTTGATTCCCAGAAGTTACAAAATGTTCCCTGTTTTTCTAAAAATGTAATTGCTAACAATTTTTTAAAATACTAAATATTTATTAACAGTGTAATACATATTGACCTAGTTCTTAAGTAAAATGTATGAGTTTCAAAATATTTTTGAAACCATTTCAGAATAATTATTTTACTCATGCAAATTAGTGGCAATGAATTTTTATATAGGATGACTTAGAAATTGACATTATGTGGTTTTAATAAGCTTTTCAGATACTGATTTCTGAAATAAGGAATTGTACTTAACAATTAAATAATTAATGTAGACCATATTTAGAATGGTTTAAGATAATTGTTGTGAGAAAAAGTGAGTTAAACTTTACTTTGAAGATTGGTGAGCCCTGTTGGAAACTCGCAAAATGTTATATCATACAACTTAATACCAAAACTTCCTAGTAATGAAATGTAGACTAGTGTTTTATAAACATTGTCAACCAGAACATTCTTTTTCTTTCCATGGTTACTTCTTCCCACCAATATATGTTTTGCCTTTAGAATATGTTCTCAGAATATGTCTCCATTTATTCCCATCTATATCTGTTCCTTTCTGATGCTCTCAGAATCTTTGCTATCAACCAAGAATGTCTTCCATGGGTTCATGTATCATACTTGAGGAGATAGTGATTATGCTTTTATAAATACAGAGTTCAAAAAGTGTATAAAAATGTTACCTTACCATTTCATCTTTCCCCTTTTCCTTCATTCCTCACTTCTTCTTAAGCCGGTCATCCAGACTGGCTTGAGTGTTGCCAAATAGTACACATTTGCTTTAGATAGTTTCATGCTATTTTATTAACCTTTTCTTTAAAAGCAAAGCTGTTAGTTGCTTTAAATTTCTAAGTTGGTGTCAGTGAAAAGAAAAATAGCTCTTCAAGAACAGATGAGCAAAGATAATTGCGAACTGAAAAAACAACTTCTGAAAATGCCAAGTTTTAAAACACCATGGTGTAGGGTCTTATGAAGTTGTATACAACTTAAATTCTTATTTTTAGATTTTTGGAAGGCATTGATGTTCGCATTTCAGCAGTTGACTGGAGTGTTATGTATTCTGGAGAAACAGTATCTGACATGCTACGATTTTAGCCTCCCTGTGTTGTGTGCCGCTTCATCTGGTTTGATCCGCTGACCACACAGTTTTATGTTTGTGTTGCTGTCAATGTGATGTACTTGTCTTATTTGTTGATTATGTCTATTGTTTAAAACAATAGAGAAAAGGAGACCATGTTTTCAAGGATATTTTATCCGTGAAGGAGAAGCATCAGATGGCGGCAACACGGACACTTGAAGAAAAAGCCCAGGAGGCAGACAAGGTGTTCACCTTGCATCCTTGGATCTACTCTTGCTTTTTCCTCTTTTCCTTTTATTCTCTTCACAGCCATAAGATATTCTGTTTTTCTTATGAGTCAATCTAAATTTTTAAAAATACTTTTTGAGCATTTCAAATGTTAAATCTCCATGTATAGAAACAGGGGATCATTTGGTAAGATGTTGCAGAAGTACTTTATTTGAAAATTCACAATTTGAAATGCAGACATAGCAACTGAATTAATAAGTGACACGCCCCCCCCCCCCCCCCCATTTTGAGATATGTGGCTGGCAGTTGGGAAACCATGATTTCATGTGAAAATGCACTGTCTGTACAATGCTGTGCACACTGTGGTGGTGTTAAAATAACAAATTAGGTGCAATTTGGGTTACTAGTTTACTAATTATATTTGGAAACCTTTTGAGTTTTCATTTTTAAGATTTTTAATGGGAAAAAAGATTTTGGTGCACCAGAGCAGCCTTTGGATCTCTCTCTGTGCTTCTGCATATGTGGAATATCTGGCATTGCTAAGAGGGTAGCTTTCTGTTGCTTTTGCACTCTTATTCTTCTGTTTCTCCTGGTTTTGCTTAGCCAGCTGGTTATCCACTCAGTTGCTGGGACTAGTGAGCTTAGAGTCTGTTGGAGGAGACAGACAGTAGACATATAAATTATAATTAGAAAATGTGGAATACTAAAGAAGTTGGTGTTAAAGATGCAATACAGTTTCATGTTAGAAGGTGACTGGGAAGGCTGTTTTACCATTGTGGTCAGCAAGAGATGGCGTTTAAGTTGAGACCGAAATGAGGAGGAGGTAGCTGGGAAGATTTTTCCCTGTATAGGGAGGAGCCAAGGCAGGAACTCGTTTAAGGACCTGAAAGACCAAATGACAAGGGTGTAGGAAAAATCAAGGAGGTTAGACCCTAGTAGACCCTGTCAGTTCTCAAAGACTATCTTGACATTTTGGAATTTGATGACAAGAGTGATGGGAAGCCACTGCAGAGTTTTAAGCTGCATCTGGCAGAGCTCCATCTGCTGCTGGATGAGGAGTGGAATACCCGGGGTGTGAATGAAAGCAAAAATCAGTAATGTGTGTCTTCCTCCCACAAAAGTCTGAGTTTTTAAATGAGTAGAGAGTATTATCAGAGCATACAGTAAGGTGGAGAAGGAGGTAAAATGAATTGAAGAGGAAGTCTTGTCCTAAAGGAATGGGAGGTGTAGTTGAGGTGAAATATTTCTAGAATACTGCAAATGAGAAAGCTAGACCAAGTGGCATATTTATGTACTTAAATGTTAGTGAGAAGTCCAAAACCAATTAGATTCTGTGTAAAATGATGACTGATAACACGTGATTTAAAATATGTGCTTTTGCAAGTTTAACCTGCAGAAGCAAGTCAGGTGGTAGATTTGTTCAATTTAAAGTAATGTCCTTGTACTTCTTGCAGTAGGAAACTTTGGAATTTTGTTGAAGATGTAAGATGTTTAAAATTATCGTTTTTCTGGATGTCATGGTTTAGGAATGTACAATATAAAATATGATGTTGTAGAAGTTACCATTACATTAAAGTGAGGTTACATGAAATTTAAACTTGGATTTTACCCTCTGTTAAGGTACTAAATGGTTTATCTGCTTGAAGTTACTGCTTTTTTTCTTGTTCTTTTCCTCTCCAACTATGTATATGGGCTGCTGTGACTGCAATCATCCATTCATCCATTCTTAACAACAAACATTGATGGATCACTTGCAATACATCTTTTCCCCCCAAATAGTTATCACTGTTTTTAGTTGAAAGTACATGAGTAGTTACGTCTGCTGTAGTGTTTTGACTTTTAACAGGATATCTTAAAAAGTTCTTCGCTGCATCTTCATTTCGCTACTGATTTTGCAGGGGTTTTTGATTATCTTTAAATTGTAATCCTTAATGAAATAAAACAATTATGCATGAGTATAATTTGACCAAATTTTCCAAATTTTGGTAATGTGTTCTATAGATTAAAAAAAAGTAATAGTTTTTTGTTTATAAGTTAATACATTGGACTTTCAAAATGGCTTCAATTTGAATATGAACAGTTTTGAGAGTAGAGCAGAAAATTGGAGACCAAATCACTTAGTCTTTAATTGACAAATAGCTCTATTTGTATATCCTCTTATGTATTGTGATAATTATGACATACTTAAACTTGTATAAAATATTCTCTCATGAGTCTAGTAGAGATTACATAGACTACAGGTTTAAAGTACTTTTGAAGATATTTTATCAAATAATTAAATGCATGGCACTTACAGAAACTCCCCAGTTAACTCTTACTGGGAAGGATATCCTCTCCACTAACTCAACCCCTAGGGATGGTGTAAGTAAGGAGATTATAATTAAAATGAATTAGGTCAGAAGCTCTTTTTATCCTCATGAATATTGCAAATGCTTATGCACTTAGTCCTCCTCATCTCATTGTCCCTATTCCTCACTCATCCTAGTGCACTGTCTCAAAAGGGGCATCCTCAAAACATCATTCATTCCTTCCTTCCTCTCTTCTTCCTCCCTTCCTCCCTTCCTCTATCATTAAGCTCAAGGAGCAGCGGGGTTTATTAGGAAGTATTCGTGCACACTTCTGTCACGACGGAAAGCTTCCTGGTGACTCTGCTGTGGGCATTTCAGGTGCCTGGGACACTCCTCAGCTTTCCTTTTGTGCCTTCAGGGAGGTTAGGGACCATAGAAATGTGAAGAGTAAATTTGCCTTGATAGTTTTTCAGGGACAGATGATTTTAACAGTAGTCACTGAGTGTTTAACCTCTTGAGTGTACCTTCCTAGTTAGAATTCTTTTCTTGACCTGTCATTTATGGAAAAGTACCCTTTCTTCGTCCCATGGCATATTTAGCATGTCTGAGGGAATTTCTGTGGGTTACTAACAGGTCACTCGTATGCAAAGTAATGTGGAAAAGGGAAAACGTTGTAGGAGCTGGTACGGTTGGGAAAGGGCATGCACAAAATAGGAAATGTCAGGTGTACTGCAGACAGGTGATACAATTGGGAAGGGCACTGGAGGCAGGAGGATAGGGTCGGCCAAGCTGTGACACAGGAATAAGTGTGTCAAGTGTAGGGGCCACTGAAGAGGCCATTCTGTGCAGAAAGAGGCTCATGCTGAGAAGCTGCCTCAAGAAGACACAAAATGGTGCTGACGGGTGGGGAGGTCATGCTCAGTTTGTAAGTAAAGCTTTAGTGACAAATCAAGGAGTTTGGGCTGGTTTTCACAGGTTAGAGCTATCAAAGATTCTCCAGCAGGGTGGAAAGCTGACCTTCAGGCAAACTGCCATGTACGCCTACAGCAGAATCTTGCAGAAACCTCCCTTTCGATCTATGCTGTTCTGTGATTCTTTCTTGTGTAACATTTCGTTTCTTTCACTAGGTCACTGCTCTCTGTTCCAACTTATTGTTAATTCTTTGCTCTTCCTTTTCTGACCTCTCTAGAGCCTAGAAGAGGAGATAACATCAATTTTGTTTAGTGAAAAGGGCTTTTCCGATAGCATGAAAGCCACCTTCACTTCAGCCACCACTTGGACAGCAGAGGGCACTGTTGTGAACTATAATGCACCTTCTGAAATGCTTTCTTCCTCGTCCTCCTCACAGTTGCCTGAGGTGCATTTTACTTTGTTTCCCCTGTTTTTAAAAGCCACATAAAGAGCGATTTTTATTTTTTAAATATTCAGGAACCCTTCTCATAAGTGCTTGCATTGGTGAAATTCATTCTTCCTGGGAAAAACATTCATGAAATAATGACTGAATTTGGACATAAGGAAAGGATACAGATTGGATGTTCTCCTGCCTCTTTTGGGTCTCAGATAACTATTTATCTGAGATCTCCACAAAAATTACCTGCCTAAATTCAGAGAACCATTTAAACCACTAAAGACCAGTTTTGGAGTTGTTGTGTGCAGGGAAACCATATACTAAGTATAGAAGCTAAGTGTGCTTTGCAGAATTAAAGATATTCAAAATGTAAATGCCTTTTGGACACCTTTTGATGGCTTATTTTAAAAAATGGAAAAATTTGAGATGCCTGCCATACTCAGTGAAATAATTGTTTTCATTTTTTTGGAACAAACCTAAGGAGTTCCCTGAAATTGGGCAGAACCCATCTAAACATTTGAAGTTAAGTAATAATAAGAATCCACTGACTTGTAATAATAATGGACATTTAGATACTGTAATCCTTCACTAGAGTAAATTTACTACCAACGAGTAGATGTCTGCGAGGGGCAGGAGTGAGCATCTCAAATAGCAAAGCTGGTTCGTTTCAGTTTTCAAAGATGCTACTGGTAGAGGAGCTAAATTCTAAGAGAAAGCCCTTGGAGTCATCATTGACATATACCCTCATGAAATAATGCCCTTTTTTAATAATCTGTAATACATTTTGAGATGTTAATAGCCATTTTGGAACAAGATTTTTATTTTAATAGTTGTCTGAGACCAACTATAATTTTGCTAGTTAAAACTGATTTTTTTTTTTTTTTTTTTTAATGAACCAGCATAAAACAAAGGTTCCATATTATTAACACTATATTCATTTAGGAATCGGGTTTCGGGCAGGCTGTATAGTCTAATTAAGATCAAAACTGTGGAATAGGTTTTAAAAGTTTTAAAATTTATACTTTAAAATAATCAGTAAGCTTTTGTGTAATTCCAGTTTTTTCCATATCTTTTCAGCTACATAAGTAGAGCGTATAGGTGTAGCTATAATAAAAGCACTTTATTTCTTTGGGAAGATGCTGGCTGTTTTGCGTTTTTTTGTTTCCTTTTGTAAGCTTTTTGCATTTGTCTCGATTGTCTTTTATGTGACCTTGAGCAAAGGTTTTTGTAGATGCTGATTCTTACTGTTCTGTCTTCGCAGTGTCAGATGTTTGCTTTGGTGGGTGTTGAGGTAAAACTTTATTGATTTTGTGTCCTCGGTTGCTTTTTGTTTCGCAGAAACGCGCTCCTGAGTCAGAAGGGCCTTGCACTGGAGCCAGTGATGCTGTTAAGGTTCTCCCCTTCTCCATGTTAACACCATTGCCTGACGCTCTGACCCCCTCACGTTTTCCCCGCTTCCCTTTCAGTCAGCCATCATAATCACCTTTGTTTTCCTCCATGACATGAACGTACCATCAGTTAATTTTGGTTTCCGTCGTTTTTATTTATTCATGTATTTTTGTTTTCCCTCATCCACTTCTTTTTTGTGCAGAGTTCACATGAGACTCTGAATGTAGTGGAGGAGAAGAAGCAGGCAGAGGTTGGGAAAGACGAAAGAGTAATCACAGAAGAAATGAACGGTAAAGAGCTATCACCTGGGAGTGGTCCTGGGGAGAGCCGTAAGGTGGAGCCTCTGACCCAGAAAGACTCCACCTCCCTGTCTTCTGAGAGCAGCAGCAGCAGCAGCGAGAGCGAGGATGAAGATGGGGGCGAGTACCGGCCCCACCACCGAGTGACCGAGGGCACCATACAGGAAGAACAGGAGGACGAAGAAGAGGTGGAGGAAGAGGCCGGCCGAGCAGCCAAGGTAGTAGAGAGGGAGCAGCCAGTGCCAGAAGCCAGCCCAGGCAAACAAGCAGGTGCCAGTGTAAGCACAGTAGAAACAGTGGCCCAGGAAAACGTAGGTGCCCCCAAGGTATCTGCAGAGAAGAGTGTACACGAAGGTGCTCTTAAGCAAGACGTGAGCGAAGACACAGAGGACGAGCAGCATAAAGTTAACGGAGAGGTGTCTCATGTTGACATTGATGTTATGCCACAAATTATTTGTTGTTCCGAGGTAAATGGGAGACTCAAGCGGGAGCTACACTCTGGAGCTTTTCTCAGGTGGAGAACACCTGCCTATTTTCTCCTGTCCTCCCAATTCTTCCCTCAGCTTTTTCAGCAAGATTTCTATTTTGGTCTCTCACGGGAGGAAGGGGAAGGCACTGCTTTGTAGAATTTCTGCCAGCTCGGGTCAAGGTTGCTGACTTCCTTACTCAACTGAATCACCTGATCCAGTAAACTTACCTACAACCACTACATCATTTTTTCATTCTTGTTGCACATCTAAATTTTTCTTTGCATGTTTTGGATGTTTTCAACTTTCTATCTTGAGTTGCACTGCTTCCTCATACTTAATGCCTTTTTCATTGGTTTAATGAGAAAATTGTATACGTGTTGTTGAAAAATGGTCAGTGTGAGTGTGTGTGCTGCTGCTGTTGTGACTGGGTTTGACTTTTTGGCTCATTGTCTCTTCAGCTTGGGAATTTTAGAAATGGCAGCGGGCTCTGACTGCCATGGTGCTCTGAACTCAACATCTGGCAGGGATAAAAATAGTATTTCCTAAATACCACTGTGGTTTCTGTTTTCAGATTCCAAGGATTGTGTGGTTTGATTGAAGCCTTTGCTTTCCTTTTAGACAGCAAAGGGCTAGACTGTTTAATAGGATATTACTCTTCTCATTCTTTCCCATCATCAATTCTGGATTATTCACAGGTGGATCATATGTTTTATGGATTATCTACATTGGATCTCAGTCTTTTCTTTTTTTGCTCTTCAAGAAGGAAAACTTTCCTCACTCCTCTTAGATTAAGCCTTGCTCTCTGGGTGCAGCATCTCTGAATTGGAAGTTAAAGTTTTGTGGAGGGAAAGCTTCCTTCCAGGTGAATATGTCTTGACTCTAAAATGAGGTGCCCACAGTGTAGGGATTATCTGTATTTGCTCTTTGATGAACAGGAAATATCTTGAAGTGACTTTGTCTTGAAATAGTTAAATATATTTTTATTCTGTTACTTTAAACTTCCTGGTTCTCTTCAGGGAACACATTTGCAAGAGTCTTATCATGCTCTAAACTATTATTTTCCACATTTACCATACATTACACTTCGGAATTTTCTCTCCAAGTACTCTAGTAGTTTGACGGTGGCAATTAGTCTGACGCTGTATTAAACATACGTGTTCAGCTGACTGCAATATTAACAGGCTGTGAACCTTTCCTTTAATGTTTTTCATCAGAGTGGTAATGCAATATTGGTGGACTAATTCTAAATATAACAGTTTAACTTATGTAACACAGAAGAAACACCACAACTTTTAGACAAGTATAATTGAAAACAGTTATACTTGAAGATAATCCTTCTGAGAATGAGATCCCCTTGTCAACAGAGCAAGAAGAAAAGAGCAAATCTTAGCCTACCTAGATGGTGTGCCAATTAAAGGCAATGAGCCTTTACACAAACCACATCGTTCTTTAAACTGCAGTAAAAATCAAGGCAGGTCACTTCACATAGTTCATTCTGTTTTTTCTTTTTCAAATTTACCATTAGTTGCCCAAAGCTAAAGTTTCTGTATCACGGTATGCCAGGCTTGATGTGTAAGTAACTTGGGACCATCATAATTTGAAGTCTATCATAATTTATGGAGCCATTATGTTAGCTTATTCTTTCCATATATATGATATTTGAAAGAAGGTGTTTTTCTTTGGTGTCTTTTGTTTTTAGATTACTTACTTTTTTCCTTTGTGTATGCGTGTGTGTTTGGATATACATCTTTATTACAATTATTTTTGAAGGTTCCATTAAGTACTTTTACTTCATTGCCTCTGGAGTTTATTTTTCCCTTCCTTTTCACCTCAGCCACCCGTGGTAAAGACAGAGATGGTAACAATTTCTGATGCCTCACAAAGGACAGAAATCTCCACCAAGGAAGTCCCTATTGTCCAAACTGAGACCAAAACCATCACATATGAATCTCCACAGGTACAAAAGCTCTAGATTTGGACTGAGTTCTTTGTTTCTCTTTCCATTCTGTCTTCTCCTAGTTTACATGTCTCTGACTTTGATGTAGCTTTTTATATCTCCACTTCATAATTGTACTTCAACAACATAACTTGTTATGTTGCTGCTTAGATTGAGACAGAGAACTGTAATCAGATTGGCGACCCAGTGATTATAGGAGGGAAGCACACACATGATTGCTGAGGACAGGAGCTGCTAATCTTGGTCCTACTATTATAAGTCATTTCTGGCTTCACATATCCAGGAGTGTTTATGTATACTTGGGAAACAGATCATCTTAGAGAGTTTATTTGATGTGATATCATTTGTAGATTAGTAGGATTTAGGCATTCTCTTCCCGCCCCATGCCGAGAGATCCTGTCAACTCACTCTTGCTTGCCAGTATACGCACATGTTCACACACACACGTTCACACACAGTTGTGCTTCTCTTTCACGTGGTATTATTTTCTAAGGATATATGTCATCATTCTTATGTAAATGGGTTACTATATGTCTAAATAATCAAAGTTTTGTGTTTGATTTTAGGTATTCAGGCATCGATTCTGTAAAGATTTGAAATAAGCATTAAGATATCTAACCTGAAGGGTAACAGGAAAAAAGAAATTATTTATCATTTCAAAATGGAACTGTTTAGAAATTTGTACAAGTATTTTTCTCAATGCAGAAATTTAGCCCTCTCTGGTGTGGCTCAGTGGATTGAGTTCCAGCCTGTGAACCAAAGGGTCTCAGGTTCGATTCCCAGTCAGGGCACATGACTGGCTTGCAGACCCAGTCCCCAGTAAGGGGTGTGCAAGAGACAACCACACATTGACGTTTCTCTCCCTCTTTCTCCCTCCTTTCCTCTCTCTCTAAAAATAAATAAATAAAATCTTTTTTAAAAAAGAAAGAAATTTAATGTTCATAGTAGAATTGTACCATAGTGAAGGGTGGCAGATTATTATCCTTGAAGTATTTTTTAAAATGTTTAATCTCTGTGTGTGAAACGTTACTCAAAATTTTTTTAGATGTGCTATCTTAAATGTGCATTGATCCCAAACAGGCACAAACAGGTTTTTAATGAATGGGTGTGGTGGGAGAGCATGTACTCATCTGTTTTTATGGTGGTAAATGCCCTGGTAAAAAGAAAAAAACACACATTGCCGCCCTGGCTGAGCGGCTCTGTTGGTTGGAGCATCATCCCATACACCAAAAGGTCACAGGTTCGATTCCTGGTCAGGGCACAAGCCTAGGTTGTGGGTTCAATCCTCAGTCAGAGTGTGTATGGGAGGCACCAATCTATGTTTCTCTCTCATATTGATGTTTCTCTCTTTCTCTCTCCCCCTTTCTGTCTCTCTAAAATCAATAAATATGTATTCTCGGGTAAGGATTAAAAAAAGAAAAAAATATCCATTGCATGAACCACGTTTGAAAGAGATTTCCTCTTAATTTACAGTAATAAAGGCTCTGGACCTTCCAGTTATTTTCTTGTGTCAGAAAACAGGAGGCAAATATATGGTGGTCTTAACATAAACTAACACTTAGTTTATGACCTTAATGTAAACTAAAACTCTTAATTTGCTTTATTATTTCTGTCAATAAACCCTAGAATTCCACCTTTTCTAGTATCAAAGCAAACAAGTTAAAACCTATTTAGATATCTGCAAAGGATTTATGTATGAAATATATGTATATATAGAGATAGCACGTGCATGCATACTTATTGAAGTATGTCTATATATATATATATATATATATGCTCATAATCCACAAACTATTACAGGAAAAATGTCATTTGAAAATCTACTAGAGATAAGCAAACCATGCTAGTTTAGTCTATCCTAGGTAGGTTCTGTTGCTTAGTAATCTGAGAAAGCATTATTCTGTTTTTATCCACCTGTGCTTAAACAGCAAAACCATCACCTCTGGTCACTTTGGAAGCTTCTCTCTCTGGGTCTCTAGTTCCTTTTTCAAGCTTCTACAAATGGCCTTCGTCAAGTTCTCCTGTGACCTCCTGATAGCTCTCAATCCCACCTCCTACTACCACTCTTTCTTCCTTCCCCCGTATCTGGGGTTTGCCTCTCCATGTGTGTTTAGCCTTTGCTTTTACTCCATTTAAATGCCAGCCATTCTCTTGGTCAGTAAGTTACCCCTATAAACCTGAAAAGACAGATAGCATCTTCTGACCACTGCAAAGATTTTAAATGATGCATATTCAATGGGGAGGGTTTTCTGTGACAACATAGTGGAAGTTAAGCATTGCTTTGTATTTTCCCCCAACTATTCAAAGGTTGATGGTGGGGCTGCTGGTGACTCGGGCACATTACTGACCGCACAGACCATCACATCCGATTCCGTGTCGACAACCACCACCACACACATCACCAAGGTAAAGCAATCCAGGGGGTTCCTAGGGCGAGGATGGTACGTTGCAAATAGAGTCTTTTCTGAATTGTTTCTTTGTTCCTGTGCACACTTCCAAGTTATACACGGTGCCAGTGGAATAAAAAGGCAGACTTTTAAAGTATCCAAGAAATCGGGCTCCACTGACAAATATATTTAAATCAAATTACAATTTTGTGAAGTACAAGGGGGTAAAAGTGTGTGATGAATAGCTATACCTAAGACAGGTACAGGAACAGAAAAAATTTAATGAAAGTGGAAGCACAGGTTTAGTAAGTACAAAGTGAATGAAGATGATTGAAAAATTTCAGCAAGTTCTTCAAATAATGTAAATTTTCTCTCAATGATTGAGGACTCTAGTATATAGACTTGCGGTATATTTCCAGGTCATTGTCTAAATGTTTAACACCAGATGACCAGTGATTCTGAAGGGGTGGTCTCTGGTTTAGAAGTGTGACTACTGTGGGCCCCACTCCAGACCTGCTGAAACCCTGGGTGTGTTTTCAAAAGCCCTCTCAGTGATTCTCTCACTACAGTTATCAGATTTGTAACTCCTGCCTTATCTTCCATATCAAGAATCAAGCAGGCAAAATGATAACATCAAGCAATTTCCCAAACCTAAAAAAGATACTGAAATTGTTAGAATTCCTTGTACCTTTACATAAACCAAACAATGATCTCTTCTTCCTTCTTTTCAAAAATTGGCCAACAGAATGTCCCAGTGGTAGAGCTATATGGATTAAATGGCAACTGTTCCCTTTTAATGTCACGGGAATCTTGATAAATTAGTTTAAAGTTGCTTTCATTTGAGAAATACTTATGGATGCTACAACTTTAACAACAGGATTCTCCATTGAGCTTAAAAATAAGGAAAGTTTCCAGAACTCCAGTTTTTGCCTTTCAGTGTGCATTGCCTTACAGTTATTGGAAGGTCTAGGTGTGCTCCATCTCTGTTTCTCTGATGATGTGTAAAGATGCTTTAGTGATTACTGTTTCTCCCCTTCTTTTCTTTATGACCTTTAGACTATAAAAGGTGGAATATCTGAAACAAGAATTGAGAAACGCATTGTGATCACAGGAGATGCAGATATTGATCATGACCAGGTAAAGACCTGAGGTTCTGGTTCTGAAACTGACTGTGCTTAGTTTCTAAGTTTTGCATCTGTCATCTGTCACATAAAATATATCCCACCCCTTCTCCCAGAGCCTCCTGGTTGAATCAAGGGCACTGCATAAGGGCACTTCACAGCCTGGATGCAGCCTGTCCTTTTAGCCTTCCTAACACTGAATCAGTGTAAATATGGATTGCTTCTTATTTCCCACTGGCTTTCTGTGCACTTTTGGGTCAAAATAATCATGAAGATTCCTGGTAGCCTTTAGGTATTCATATGGGCCTGGTTTAAGGCAAGTCATCAATTATTAAAACACAAATGGCAGTTTAATGATATTCAAAAAATAAGCAAAGCCACTAAGTTTGACTTATGCCTACTTTTAGGAACTTAAAAAAGTTTTTATAGCATTAGAAAAGTTGAGCCATTTACCATTAATTATTGCTATTATTGAGGGGTAGGGAAAGATAGTCTAAGACCTCTTACAGAGTGAGAATTTAGCTGTGTTCAGAAAAATTTTTGAAGGAGTTGTGCTTCCATTTTAATGTTGAGCAGAATGCATGACTTTAAAAGCAGGTGATGAATGGAACAGCTGGAGACTTTGAGAGTAGTTTTAATTTTAGACATCAATCCTAAGTGATGGTAAGTTTTTGTTTTATTTTCTGAGTGATTTTAACTCAACTTTAAAGGAGACCAAGCTGTTTTTCCTTTACAACAACTCGAAAGAAGGAAAAGAAATGTTCAGTTGACCATCCCAGCTGGAGAGTAGGAACAAACGTTTGTAACCTGGCTTTGAACATAATATTGAACTCAGGCAAGAGAATTTTAGAGAAAAAAATTTCTCATTTAAGAAAGACTTGCTATATATGACCAAAATAGAAGTACTATGCCTTCAAAGAAAATTACTGTTTTTTAAAATCCTGTAAGCATGATTTTACTTACATATTTCATATGTGTTGTTTTTACTACCTTAAATTATTAGAGGTTGAAAGGTCATCCTGACTCTGTATTTTGACTTAAGAGTACAGATTCCTAGTGAATGACCAGTATGCGTGCCTATTTACCACTGGAAAGTGAATTACTTACTTGCAAACCAGGCCTCCAGTTTCCCATGTAGAGGATTTTTCTGGGGCAACCTTGAGTTCTTTTGACCTGAAGTCAGAGCAAAGGTATTCTTGCTTTTTGGCGGCAGGACCCTCGCTCAGCAAGCATTTGTTGAATTCCTACAGTGTGCTAGGCAGGAGCCCAGGTTCCTTTGGCTTGGTGGAAAATGGAAATTGGGGTCTTCTTCCAGCCTTTGTTTCCTTTACCCTCTGTCTTCTCTGAACTGAAGCCCTCTCCAGCTTTCAAATGCCACTGTCCCCCTTAGAGATTACCCTCTGGTTTTATTCTGTGTGCATTCTTTTGTGTTTTGGCCTGTTTTAACTAAAAACTCAAATTTAGGCCATACTGCTTCTGAAAAGCCAATGGAAAAAACACAGACTGAAAGCTAACTACCCAAGTAGCACGTGTTCCTGACTGTTGCTGCAAAGACATGCATTTGTATGATGTCATGCTTCAGCCCACATTGACACTGAGGTCAGATATCCAGATGACCAGAATAGAGATGCAACTTTTACATAACGTTTTCATGTCTAATTATAAGATGGCATAAACTTTTTCTTTTTTTTTGTTAAAGTAAATTTAATTGTGGCTTTTGGTATGCTTGACACTAGAAGCTCATTATGAGTTCACTTGCCCTTTAAAACCTGTAATGAGATGATGGAACTGTTTAAAATTAATGGAGGAAAATCACCTCTCTGCTCAAAACTGATGTTGACAATGTAGTGTCTTTAATATTATTGACACTTTTTTTTAGCTCCTTGCCTACATAAAAGGATCTTAATAATGGAAAGAATTCCTTCATCCAAGCAAGATAGGGGGGAAAAAGAAAAGAGAGAAGAAGGAATCTGTTCTGTGCTGGCAAATTAAAGCAGCGAGATTTCATAGATCCTTGCTTTGCAGTTCTTTACCCTGTTCGGTCAATGACACCCTCAGCTCTTTACCGGGAGGTGTGGACGGCCTGGCCGTTGTTCCTCAGTCGGCTGTCAGCTGAGGTTACCGAGCTAAACCCAGTTCTAATAAAGTGACTTCTCGGTTTGGCAATATGATATGTTATCTCACAGTCTCCTGTTACCATAATAAGTTAGCTTTTATGTTATTTAACCTTGTGTACTGATACCACATAATGAAAGAAACTAATGGCAAACTGATTTCAGCTATGTTCATAGGTGATTATAGAAATTTTCAGGGTTCTCTGCTTTTCTAATTGGAGCATGTTTGACACGTGTAACTTTCCCGTGAGCATCATTTATACTTTTGCTTCAGCAGTTACACTGCTTTAATGTAGCTAGATCTTTGGAGTGAACAGAAACTCAAAAGTATCTGATGAAGTTGTCTACAGCTACGTTTGGCTCCCATCAGAGCTTGTCCCGCCCAATTCAGATTGCGCAGACCAACGTGGGGTACACGGTGTCCATCATGTTAGTCTCCTTCTTTCCTCCGAACACGCACACAAACTTGGCGTCACGCCTCTGTTCCGGTTGTAGCCCTTGCACGGAAGCACTTTCTGCCCTTCTCTGAGATAAGATTCCCCACTCCACCCCTGCCCTGCTGCCTTCCTGCTTTCCCCATGTGACAAACGGCTGTGCTCTTGTTCACGTCGGAGGCTGTTCCCCTGTCTGACCTCTTTCTTGTCCTGACAGTCCCCTAGTACAAATTTAAGCACCAGCAGGTGTCTTCCAAGCTTCTGTTGCAAAAGTTTTTTGGTGTAAAAATTTCTTTCTGTAGCTTTACCTTTCTGTGTGTGTGGAATGAGGCTCAGTCAGGGCTTTCCTCAGTAACCTTCCTGCTGACCGTAACTATATTCCAAATGAGAAATGCAGTTGTCTCCTTAGGCAGGTGACAGAGCATCAGGAAAAAATTGTGCTGCTTTTTCAGATGCGTATTTTCTGTATGAGTTAGGGTACTTCGTAGCCCAGTAGAATTCCTTTTTTGTTTTAAATACCTGTCCTAGATTTTGAGTGTTGTTCTGTGATGTTTCTTTTACTTTTCCCACGACCTCTTTAAACATCTTTCCCTTTTGAAAAATCAGATCTTTCCCCTTTTCCACAGTGCTCACATTCCATGCACTTCCTGACACAGTGCAGAGAAACCGTGTGGCTTTTCACAGCCTGGTCCAGAAGAACGAAGCAGTGGAAGGGCGCCCTGGGCGCCCCGTGGCCCGCGGCCCCTCGGCAGGATGCCTTGGGAAAGCGGCCGTCAACCCAGGACCTGCGCTTTATCACCTGAAGATTAGTCTGTCTCTGGTCTCAAGTTTTACTGATTATGTGTCATGGTCATTGCTGCAGTTTTAATTTTTCTTTGCCTTAGATGTTTATAGATATTTTCACTGCAGCATTTTAGTTCAGTGAATGTTTTACTCAATTACTTGAGAGCCCAAGAGGACAGGGGTGAGCGAGGCCAGGTCCTGTGCCCTGGGGTTTCAGGCAACTGGGCGATAGCAAGTGTCACTTGAGTGTACAGGGTAGGCACTATGCTGGGTGCTGTACATCACCCCTTCCGTCCTTAAAACAAAACCTTAAAATGACCTCTGCAACCTTCACTTTAGGCTCAAGTTACGGGTGAGACTGCTCAGACACAACCTGTTCTCCCCAAGTCTCGCAGTGAGGGCGCAGCTGGGATTCAGAGCCAGGGTATTTCTTCCACATTATTATTTGAAAATAGACCGGAGAAATGGGGACTTTGGGGAAATGAGAAGTATTCTCTAAAGTGAACAATGAGCCCATTCAGATCTCCCTGCTTCCTCAGAGAAAGCAGTAAAACCACCTTGGCCTGAGGTGGGTCCCAGGTGATCAGCATGCTTGTGTGTTGCGTCCTGAGAAGGATCTTTCTGGCACTGACAGTGCTGTCTCCTGACCTGGCAGGCGCTGGCCCAGGCCATCCGGGAAGCCAGAGAGCAGCACCCCGACATGTCGGTCACGAGAGTGGTGGTGCACAAAGAGACTGAGTTGGAGGAAGGGGAAGACTAAGTTAAGGTAAGAGAGCCTGTGTTGTCCGGGGCCTTTTCTCTTGACTGTTCTGCACTTCGGAACCTGCCGAGGGACGTGGAATGGACTTCCGTGTCACAGTGTCTGTCTCCCGTAGTCCCATCGGGTCTTCCAGACTGTGGTATCTCCAAGTACATCTGCTCAGGTTACCTGCATAGAGTTATAAACTTTCCACTGATGGGCACGTGGTGTTAGTAACTGCCATGTATTGAGACCTGCTAATAATTGAGGTTAAAGGTTGCTTTGCTGTTTAAAAGCACACTAGTACAGTTATCTTAATTAATGTTCACAATGACCCTTTGAGGAAGGTGCTATTGCTGTCATTTAGATGAGGGTTTTTATTGCAGAGGGCGTAAAAGGAGAGATGAGTTTAATATAGACATTAATAATGATATATCAAAGAGTGAACCATAAAAGGACATGTTTGCTTTGACTGTACAAAAATGTAAAATTTTAATCAAAACAACAAAAACAAAAGTAAAAGATAAATGACAACATTTAACATGCCTGGCAGGGAAGGGATTAATATCCTGAATATATTAAGAATGCTTATATGTCATTAAAAATTTAAACACTTAAGCAAAAAAATGGGCTGAGGATTAAGCAAGTAAACCACATAGAAGCTAAGTGAATGTTAACAAAAATGTTGAGGCTCACTGTTGCTTAAATCAATGTCAATTAAAAATTCAGTGTGCAAGTTTTCACTTATAAACCTGGCCAAGTTTATGCTTTTTGCCAGTGTGGGGGAGGTTGCAGGAGGAAAAATATATTCATATGCTGCTGTATAGATTAGTAATATTTTTTGGAGAATAATTTGGCAAAAACCTACGTTAAGCATGCCTACTATATATACCACTTTTGAGAACTTACCTAAATAATCAGAGATGTGTACAAGATTTACGTACATGTACATGGATCACATTTTTATACACACTTCAAGGGGCTGGTCGTACCTTACGCTGCCATTGTTATGTGATGACTAAATATAGCTATTGAAAGTTGTGCTAAAGAACTTAATGAAATTAGTAAATGTCCATAATGACACATGTATTCACTTTTTAAAAAGCAGGTTTTATCACACAGCATGGAATCCTAGTAAGATTGCTTTTTTGTTTTTAAAATGACCCATCCATTGATAAGTCTATAGATAAATGCCCTAGAGTGATGGCTGGTCACAGAACCCATGTCTTCCACCTGGTGGCAAGGCCGAGTGCTTTCTCATTGCGAGAAGTGAGGGGTCCAACCATAGCGCACAACCTTCTCTCTCACTTTTTCATTTTTGCCAGTTTGATAGATTTGAAATCATGTCACTTTCTTTCTTCTTGTTCTTAGTGAACAAGATTCTGGATGTTAATCCTTCATCAATTTTATGTGTTGTGGATTGTCTTGTATTACTAATATAGTTATTAATATATTGAATATAGTTATTAATATAGTTAGTATAGTTGAATTATCACAGCTTTTCTTTATGGCTTATGCTCTTTCCATACCCTGCATATTAAAGATATTTTTGATCCTGAAATTTTAATGTTGCCTTTCACATATCAATTCTTAAATCATCAAAAATTGTTTTTCCTGTGTGATGAGAAACAGTGGTCCATTTGTTTTCTGTGTAAGTAGCTGGCGTTCAGTATTGTTTACTGAAGAGCCCACCCTTTCCCCCTCTGATCTGCAGGTCATGTACCAAGTTGCTCGTACGCATGGGTGTGTTTCAGGGCGCTCTCATTTCCATGCTGTGCTGTCTTGTCACTGTAGCTTTAAAATGAGTCTTGATACCTGGGAGGCTGTGTCTCCCGAATTGTGTTCTTTTTCTTCAGGAGTATCTTGGCTATTCTGGGCTCATTTATATGGAACAGAATGTTCCATATAAACTTCAGAATCAGATTGTTAGGTTCTAAGGTAAACCTGGTGGTATTTTAGTTGGAATTATATCCACTCTCTAACTTCAGTATATTAAGAACTATATCTTTATGATATTGTCTTCTTTTCCACAAACATAAAATAACTCTCCAGTTATATAGGTCTTCTTTAATTTATTTCAATAAAATTGTATAATTTATTTTTTCTCCTGCAGAAAGAGGTCTTACATATCTTTTCTGGCTGTTGCTAGTGTAGGGAGATACAGTTGGCTTTTCTGTATTGGTCTTGTACCTAGCAACTTTGTATTTTAGGTATAATTTTCAACACAGGGTGTACAAAGGGCCTACAAGCAGAAATCATTTAAGATTTTAGCACAAGACAATGTCTAGTTACCTGAATAAATGGAATAAATGTGGTGTATTATATGCTCAATGTCCATCTTTTTATTTTGGGGATGTATTTCCCTGATGATTTTATATATGAAAGGCTGAGAACTTCTAAGCTAGGAGTCGGATGGGCAAGCACTATGTTTTAATCTTGCCACATCTCAGGCTATGTGTCATTGGGCAAATCAGTGGGGATGGTTAAATCTACCTTTCTAAATTCATAGGACTTATTTATAATGGTATAATATGATAATGAGTGAGGAAATGAAGAAATGTTGGGTATTTCTCCTCTAAATTCTATGAATCAGTAGTGACCACTGTGAATGTTACCAACACCCTCACCTTCATTTGTGGCATTTTAATACATTTTAAAAATGAATTAGTTATGTCAGTTGTTCCTGGCCCCTTATATGCATTTTTGCAGTGGGGACACATATAGACGTAGCCTTTTAAGTTTGCCTGTTTTTGAGGTCATCATTTATAAGTAACCTTGTGAAACATATTTAGGAAGTTAAAGTATACATTCATATAGAAGGTGAGCAAACTAGGTTAATTTGGAAAAACGTATTCATCCATTCAAAAAATATCTGAGTGCCAAAATGTGCTATAGAAGGGCTAAGCCTTGAGGATTCAAGTTGTCAAAATTGGTAGAAGAAATGAATACAGACTTGAACTGTTATTTAACCTATTACTTGAGAAAGAAAGTTTGAGTTGAAATCTTAAGAAGGAATAGGAATTACCTCATTGTCTCAAGTTATTTTACCACCTCCCCACCCTCCACCCGCCACTGATTGCAGCCTGTTTTTGAACAGTTGCCTTTGCTGGTTCTGGTCAGGGCTGAGGAGAGTGTGCTTCTACTGCCTCAGCTGCCCTCTGACTGCCCTGCCAGGGTTCCACAGAGGCAGCAGGTGGGCCAGGCAAAGAGCAGGACTGCGGCAATATCCGAATGTCAGAAAAGAATAAATAACTGTGTATCTGTCTGGCTCCCCTTTTCAGATGTGAAAAGCTCTCCTGCTGACCTCACCTCTCCCCTTTGGAGTAGTTCGAACTTCTGATCAAGCACTGAAAGGTGGGGGTGGCGGTGGGGGTGGCAAGGCGGAGAGATGGTCAAAGGACAACCTGCAGTGGACTGAACCTCGCAGGTCTGCTGTCTCAGCTGGGTGTTGGCCAGCCGTGAGGCAGAGGAGCTAAATTCAGATACTGTGACAATGAAAACACAGACTTCAGAGGAGTGCTTCACTAAATCTTTGTAACCTTTTATGTCCTCTTATGGACTATTCTGCCCTGTCAGCTTGTCAAAAATGCATATTTATGAGCCCTCAAATGGACGCAGAGTGCAACTGAGCTGTCACCACTGGGATGGTGTCCCAGGCCCTCCTGCTCAGGAGGGAGAGGAGTGCAGGCTCCGGTGTGGTCTGCATGGCCTCAGAGTGAGCCCCAGCAGGGGGAGCTCGCGGCTCTGCTTCAGTTATTGCCAGGAGCTCTCCACTCCTGAGTACTCAGTGATGTGGGGTAAAAAAAAAAAAAAAAAGAGGAAACACTGCCTGCTTTTCATGCGAAAGAAGTGAGCAGCCTCTCAACTATTCACTCATTTTGTTCATTGATTTGCTTATTATACAACTATGAACGGGGTGCCCATTAGATACCTTTTACTGTTTTACTATGGAGATTTCAAAGCAAACAAGGTCACACTCACAGAGAGTAAATCAGTGTTACCAAAATAGTTTCAAGTCTTACGATATGTTCTCAACTGATTTTAGTGGGAACAGAAAGCAAGGTTTCTAAATCAAAATGGGGCGTGTCATTTGAGTGTCAACGTGAGCAGGAGTTTGTGCAGTGAAAAAAGGCGTGGAAGGGGGCATTCCAGGCAGGATATGGTGCTGTGGACTTGATGCTCTAGGAGCAGCGCAAAATCAGGCGTAGCTGGATTGCAGAATCACTCGTAGGAGAGTGAAGGGCGATGAGGGGAGCGGGAGGCGGGGGCCCCGTCCGAGAGTCTTGTAAGCCAAGCTGCAGAGGCTAAACTGTACCTGAAAAGCTGTGGGTACTCCTCACGCATTTCAGATACAGTACGTAGGTGAAGGTTTGTGACTGGGCGACTGCAGGAAGGTACGCGAGTTAGTAAGATGAGTACGTGAATCAGCAGGGAAGATTCGCAGATAACCCCCAGGTTTGTAGCTTGAGCAAAAGAATCGATGGTGGTTCCTGTAATTTCAGTCACGGAATATGTGTTTTATTTTTCACATGTGTGTTATCCTCAGTCCTCTACCCTGTCTTTAAACAAAAGTGTATTTTTTGTTCTGTAGTACTTTATTAGGAGAAACCAACTGCTGAAGGAATTATGGAGGAAGCTTGGAAGGGAACCTATAAGGTCCCGTCTTTTATGCACACCATACGTGGGTACTTGGAAGTTTTCCAGATCGTGTGGCATAAGGAGTAGCGTAGTGGATTTGCAGGGTTCAGATCTGCTCCCTGGCTGTAGGGCCTGGCCAGGCTACTTCCATTCTCTGCCTCAGGTCTGCCACCGGTAAACCGGGACTGATCATAGAATTTACCGAAGGGTTTGTTTTCAAGGCAGGTTTTAAGAACTTTTTGTAACCTATGGTCAGCCACGACTCCTTTTTTGGTCTTAAGGGTTAAATAAATATGAAAAATATCCAGAGATGTCACTTGGAGAGAAATGTCTACATGAAGAGGTCCAGGAGGTAGACCAGAGTTGAGGGAGGCTTGGATGAAGAGACG